CTAGCACTGATGCAAATGCTGAAATTTACCAACGTCCAGTGCATATTATAGTTTGCCTGTGGTAGCAATTACTTCTAAAACCCTCCAGCCTCATCTCTCTTTTATTATTCCATTACCACTATTGTTTAATTCATCCCAAATTTATGCAACTAATATTTTGGATAATTATCACATTTGTTTTTTAAAAGTAAAAAAACTTTAAATTGAAATTCCATTTTTACTCAACTGATAAAAATGTTTTTTAACATTTAAATAATGTAGAAAAAGTTTACTCAAGTTTTGGAGTAAAAAAAAAAATAATCATAAAATAAATAGGATTTGACCTATTTCACAATAATATGATGATAAATTCGACCTAATAGATTTTAACTTGTACATTGTGATAAATATTTAATACAAGTCAAGATGAATATTTTTTTTTATCATAAAAATGATGAAAAAGTTTTAATAAAAGTATTCGTATTTTTGTTGGGAATATTTTAACACTGTTTTATAAATTCAAAGGCAAAGATTCAATTAAGTTGGCAGTTAATAATTTAGCCTACTTTCTTCTATATAATGAATATCAGAAACAAAAAACAACAACTGAGAAACCGAGTACTACTTTTACAATGCTGTGGATAAATTAATCTATATTCATAGTGTTATTAAAATCTTGGATATAATTACATTGAAAAGAATTATACACAAGGTTGAATTAAAAAGAGATTAAAGGAGAATATTTTTTCTTATTTAAGGTAAATGTCTAATATTCTGGCCTTGTAATAAATGAATTTAAAATTCAAATATTTTATGAAAATATCTCGAAATAATAATTTTTTTTTACATTTACATTTACTATCTCATTGTCGATTTCCGTTTGTCGCATCTGTTCTAGTTTATCGTTCTGTGCTACTGCTACTGCCGGAGGTGCATTTCTATAAGGTATGCGTTATATTATGGAGTAAGTCAAAGCATCTAGAACGTCTTCCAACGTCAGTAAGAATATTGCATGAAAATGTAGCGATGCGTATGAACACCAGGTAAGTACCTACCGAGGATGTTATATATGTATATATATATAGAAGTGTGAGAACATCAAAGATGTCAACGCAAAAGCATTACCTTCTCCTATGAGATTTACAAAGTGACGTGGTTTTATCTTCTCGTGAATTTTACACTTCTCAAGTTCAAAAGGAAAAGCGAATTTCCTCGTGTGAAATTTTCATACATGAGCTAAAGCAGTAAATTAACTGTGAATTGAACGTACAACACAATATTACATTTACTAAAAAATTTATACTTCCAGTGTATGAATGTGATGAAAGATAAGGTGAAAATTTTTGACGAGATTTGATATTCATTATAAGCTTATTTTATTAATTATTACTTCACTGTTTAATTAAATGCCATTGTCAGAGTTTTACGTTACATTATCTCCAAGTAAATGACTCTAACAAAGACGAAATAAACGAGCAAAGAGGAAGATGATAAAATGAAAATGAACTTGCTATTAAAACCAATACGATCATAATCGCAATGAAAAGTGCGAAATATTTATTACTTGTGCTCGTATATTTCATTCGAACTTTCGAGTCGTAAAGAGAGAATTGAAATCTCCAAGTAAAGAAGATATATATATATATATATATAGTAAAACCATTTTTATTCTCACACTTTTTTTTCTTTGTTATATCTTAACTGTTATTCTTTGCTTATTTTAGTGGTGGTAGAATCTTTTTAAAATTTAGGACAAATTTTTTGTTTAAATGTTTTTTCCTTTGATTGAAATTGAGACTTGGTGTCAAAATCATGAGATTTAACAAAAAATTTTCCACTAAACGTACCACAGTTATTTTTCTTCTTTCAAATAGAAGAAATAAAATAAAAAATCTGAGTGAAACGTGACATGCGGGTATTTCTGACTGGCGTGTTCTTCATTTCACTCGACGAACCTTTACGTTTTTCTCAGTGGATTTAATCTACAAAAAAAATTCAAGACTTTGTGGCTAATTTCATTGAAATAAAAAAATATCCAAGAAGATGATGATGGGAAAACTTGGAGTTAAATCAAAGTTTGTATAATTATTTCAAGGTACTAATATTATTTAATGTATGGTACTATAATTTTAGTTTTAAAAAATTAATGATAAATCAATTGAATAATTTACAATTTAATTTTAATACTCTTTAATATAATTTTCAACTTTAATTAGAGTTTCTCATTTATAACTCTTCATTTAGACAATGGATTCCATGATAATAGAAACTTTAATGAGATATTATTGTCGTTTAGCATAGTCACATTATGAAAGAATAGATAAAAAAATTTTTTTGTTGAAAAATATGAATGTTAAAAAACATTTCGATCGTTTCATAGAGCTGCATAAATTGAGATTATTCAGTCTCTTAGGATTCGAGTGGGAATTTTTCATTTTAGTGATCCTGTTGGGAATAACTGGAATATATTCACAGGTGAAAACGCTTTCCTTAACTCAAATTTACTTTCAACGGTTGTTTCGTTGAATAGATATATGGAATAAAAAAATGTTTCAGAGCGAGATGCGGAGGCGGAATAATGAGGACAATTTCTTCGTTGCCGTATATAGGGACGGAGTGAAATAAGATAAGAAACGTGGGCGAAGGAAGAAAGAGTCACTCTCAAGGTCTTCAAGTATTGATACCGGAAGATCTCGAAGCACGTTTGTTTTTCTCAAGAGTCAAGAAGACAAATCGGTTGGTGAGACTCACGCCTAACCTATACCTTTCCATATCTATGTGGTTGTTGTTGAGTGCACTAGCATTACCAATAGACGCAAGTGGTTAAAGGATGCAAACCGGTTTTTCGCAAGCAACTTTTATAATGAGATTCCTCAAACGTTTCGTCGATCAGAGAAAGAACTGAAGATAAGAGTGAATGTTGGAGTAAGAAAGAAAGACTTTATAAAGGGGCAACTCTGACGTTTACATAAAGAACAGTAGGTACTTCCGTGTACTTCCTAACACGGGTGTGCACGCGACTCTGCATGTCCTCGTGTGCAAAGTCCATATATGTTTACGACAATTGTAAGACTGATGTTATTGTAAAAGGAAATTCGGTTATATGTATTTCAATATTTACTCAAAAATTATTATTCCATAATTCCAATCATTTGGAACGCGAGTTATTCGAAATCAAATTTCCCTTTTCTCTCCATTTAATTCACTGATGATTGACTGTAAAACTATAGTAACTATAGGTATTTTAACATTAATTCAAAAGCGGTTCTTTAAATTTTCGTTTAAAAAAAATGATATTAAAAATCAAATTTTATCATACCATTACGAAAAAAAAATTATCAATAATAATTTTAATTTAAACTCTCCTGTAAAATAGACAATAAATTTCTTTTTCCAATCTTTTTATGTTTTTCGAAGCAATAGAAAACAAATTAATCAATATGCAAAGAGCTGGTGTGTGTATTTAATAAAAAATATTAATCTTATTTCAAAAGGCTTTGGGTCTTTTTTTCTATACAACGCGGAGCAACCGAAATACCTGAAATAAATCAACAACATCCCATACCAATTTCAATTATTAGTGTGTAGTAGGAAAATATTTGATTATTATTTCAAAATTTCTTTTTGCAAACATCATTTTTGATTACTTAAAAGATGGAATTTAATTACTACCTACGGTAAATAAAAGTAGTAAGTTCATTAATTCTTTGACTGTGTAATGTTTTACCAACTTTTCGAGACGAAAAGAAAATTTTTTGTTTTCTGTTCAGTTAGGGAATACAATTCATTTCATTTCTCTACTTTTTTATGTTAAAAAAAAAAAAGAGTCGTAGATTTTTGTGCCGTCTAGTATATTTATAAAACTCAATCATGTTTCAGCATCTTCAAACGATGGAGACGAGACGAAAGATAAATCATCCGGTTGAATGACTACAAACTTTAATGTAAATAGAAATGTCGAGTCTTTATAAAGTCAATAATTTGAACAAAGTTTAAATCTCCCTTACTCCCCATTGCAACTGTAAAGAGTCTTAATAAAGGTCATGTAAACGATAATTATTTTTCAGCTACATAAACATTATTAGTAAGCTAATTATTTATTATATAAACATATAAATGTGAAATTTTTTTCTGCACATAAAGCAAAAATTTGTTAAATTATGGGTCAAATTGTTTTATGTCCCGTGAAGTTTATATAACGAAATATGACTACTATTTTTGTATTTATATAAAAATATGTTTTATGTATATATGTATACAGATAGAATTCACAACCTACAGCAATAACCAGACCGCGACGTACCACATGCAGTGCAATTGGACCAGCGAACGTTTCATAAGGGATACGATCTGTGCACACTCTACCATCATACCACTACCCCTTTAGTCAGTTATAAACTTTTTTACTGTCTCTCACAGCGTCTGCCGGCAAAGTAATCTCTTTTTATTTCACAGTGTTATAGTCACTTGCAAAAATAAAGAGTATATCGCCGAAATATAAGAGAAATAAAAAAAAAAATACATACAAAATATCACTCAATTGTTATCCAAATTTTATTATTTAAATTTAATTTATGATTTCTATTTAAACTCAATATAAAAACTATTGTTTAGAAACATTTTGATTGTCTTTAAAAATGAATAAATTAATTAGTCAAGTTTTTTTATTCAAAGAAAAAAAGACTTTTTAATGTATCTCGAAATACTTTTGTTTTTAAGTGACTAAGAAAAAATTCCAAGGTTAGATCAAAGATTTGTTAGACAATAGGTAATTAAAATATTAATTAAACTTGTTTATCAGAGTTGAAATAAATAGTGGCTTGCAATAGAAAAAGTAGCTCATAATGAAAACTCCACTCCAAAGTCAAGGTAAGTAAATAAGTTACGTAGCCTTAATTGTTTGGAGCAGCGTATGAATAAAAATAATGTCAGTAATAAATTTACATTAGTCTAGGAATGAACTTTTATAATAAAATATTATAATAAAAAAGTGAAAGTTACAAAAAGTAATAAAAACTTACCCAAAACAAAACATTAAATCCAAAGATCACATATTTGAGACAGCAGCTCACTTCACTTGTATCCCTTCTGTACTTCCTTGCAGGCATGATTACGATACATTTATCTCCTGTTTCTGATTGCGATTTTCGCGCCTTTTGACTCACACGCGCACATGTGCACTTTTCGAAGAGCAATAAGAAAGAACACAAAATAAAAACAAAAATAAAAACAACAAACAAAATTAAATACACTTTGAAAACAATAACTAAACCCGCATAATTATACAGTGATCATGGCGGATCCATTTTTGTGTTTTACTTACTTAAATATTTTCATAAACTAATAAACTTTTTTTTTGTTTAATTAATTATAATCCGGCAGTAGTCGTTGCCAGCCGATCAGCTGATCACAATATCCCACATAATAACGACTACTGCCATTGTCACGTCGCAGCGGCACACTGCTATAGTCGAACTGAGAAAAGAGTTCCTCAGTTGCTTCAATGCTTTCGGGCTCCCCACCACTGATTTTCTACCCCTTCTACCATGTTTTTTACTACTGCGCAAGCGTACAAGAACACATGAAGAGCATCTGAGGAACTCTCTTCTCAGTCCGACTATAGTGCCGGATCAACGAGACTGCGAGCGGGTCAGACATTTCCCCTCTATCACTTCGTGTGTTTCAGCAGCGCACAATTGCAGCCTTCCTTTACTAAAAAGACAACTTTCTTCCTCGCACTCCCCACTACTTATCAGTCTTCTCCCTTACTTTTCTCCCTTCTTTTCGACTACTTCGTTTTTCGCTTCAGTCACCTTTCATACCTGTTTATCTCGTTCTCTTTCTATTTTGCTTTTTAACCCTGTGCTGCTTCTTTCTTTACATCATTCTTATTTTTAGCTTTTAATGCGACCTCATTTTATGTTTATCTTTCCATTTACCAGCACATTTATTTGTTATTATTATTATTATACCACATTTGTCTTTGGATTTTCAAGTTTCAAATGATAACAATAGAAGCGGCCACCTTACCCTTTAGTCTTCACCTCACAGTTGAAACAACTCGACTCACTCTTGTACCATGAGCATGCAACTACCTGCTGATGGTGCTTGGGTTCGCGCAGGCGCCACACGCATCCACCGTTTAACCCCTCCCGCCCATTTTTTCTTTTGTTTTTTATTTTCTTCCACATTTTCTTAGTTCTCTTGGACGTACTAAGAATCATCCAACTGGACTGTGTGAGCTAATTTTCTTGCTTATCCTCTTTCATCTTTTTTTTTTTTTCTATTTATTCTCATCTATGTCATACACACTTATGTACATATCTTGTTCATCAAACTAAACCTTACAAGTTTATTTTTAATTTGGAGCAATAGATGGACTTGAAGATGGATACAAGTTGAATGTAGCAATAGAAAATTTTTTTTATTAGGTTTTAATAACCGGAGGAAGCTTTACCAAACAAACAAAAATTAAATCCAGTAGCGATGGAGTAATTTCCAGTAGAGGTCAAACAAGTGTAATTAAATTCTAAGTAGGTCAAAGTTATATATGAGATGATGATGTTTCGGAATCATACGTAATATATTGAATAGGAAAAGGACGTTGCTTCATATGTGTATTGTTGAAACCTATCTAGCAACACTGTTTCACATTTCTTGTATCCATTTATTACACTGTCGTTATATTACAGCATCTATTGACTGTTATCTTTATTCTGAAAGCATTGGTAGTATGATTCTAATTTAATGATAATCAATTCCCATAAAACCTGATATTTTATTTTATTCCATATAAAATAAATCATGTAACCTTTGATTATACAAAAAACCTTTTTCATTCCATTTATGGATTAGCATTAATTAATTATTAATTTCCATTCGAATTGAATTGAACTTTTATTTTATTTATAGGTTATTATTGATGTGCTCGTTTAGCATTAATTATTTTTTATTTTTAAATTTTCGTACGACGCGGAAGTTGGTTCCATATCATTCCTTTGGATGTCACTAGCTGCTGGCAACTAGAATTCATCTATATTCTCTGCTGTACTAGTTCAAAATTTTATGATCAGACTTCCTATTGTTGTGGAAGGTTATGACATAATTGTTTTCTCTTTTAACTTTAAATTAATGAACGATTTGGAATAAATTATCAATTAAATGAATATTGAGTTATAATAGCATCAATCAATTATGGCATTAATAGTCCAAAATGTAAGTTGACATTGATTAAGAAGTAATCTTTATCAATATAACCTCAGAATGGCTACGTTAATAATAGGTCTTTTTTATTAATAATAACTTTTGATATTCCCCTTTTTATTCTTAACGAATTAATGAATATTGTTGTATTTTTAACAATTAACAACTTCTTGTACTGTCAATTATTGTTTATGTAAAATAAGCTAATGCAACACAATCAACGTTTTTATTGAACAGGTCGCAAGGAGCTTACAAATACAATCATGTTTGCAAAAACTAATTCATACATCTGCATCACTTAATAAAACGACTTCTGGAAAATATAAATCTACTAGAAATCGAACCAAACCTCTTACATATGAAATGGCAATGAAACCTTGGGATATTGCAGCTAGAAAATCATGGAATGCATGGAACACTTGTGAGTACTTTTTATATAATTCCTTTGATGGATATCAATTGAAAAGTAAACGATTCTTTGAATTATTTAGCAAATGTTTTGGATGGAAATCGGCCTGCTGAGACAGCAGCAGAAGATGAATTTATTCGTCGATTTATGTGTGGCACGTGGCACAATATTTTTGTATCAGAATTAATTATAAAACGACAACACAATATTATTCGAATAGCTGGGATTATTCAGAGAAATTTAGCACCAAGAAAAATGTATTTCTTAATTGGATATACTCAAGAGCTCTTGAGTTACTGGCTTCAATGTCCTGTTAAATTAGAATTACAATCAGTTGAGAGTAAAGAAGATGTAGTATTTAGATATGTATAAGATATATTGATATTCGAAATTTTTTTAGAAATATAAAGAATTGTATTTAGAAAACACCATTTACATTATTTTGAATTATATTAATGATATAAATAAAAGAATTTTTATTGAAAATCAATTTAATAATTATAGTAAGAAGAAAGAAAATCGTTTAATCATATTTTACTTGTTTTATTATTTTATTAATTATTAATTATTACACTCAATCATGATGAAAACGTAGCCCACATACAATTTATTGCATTGTCAATCAAACTTGAAATATACAATACCTTTGAATGGATATTGAATTATAACGTTGATGAGATGTAGTGATGAAAAAACATGATTGAATCAAAAATTATGAGACAAACGATGGAAACTACTAGATTTTTTCGTTTTCTCCGTAGCATGTCTTTACAACTTACATCATTCAATATCCGATCAGGCCTCGCTGAGCTATTTATTTGTACTTTTGCACTTTTAATTTGCGAGTATTTATCATTACAACATTAATTGATAACTTTTTTTAATTGCAAACACCATTGATAAAAAATAAATTTATATACATGTTAACATACTCGTATATATGTTACCATTAAAATAGACAATACGATGGAAAATTAATTCATTTACATAATAATTGAAATAAGACTTAAATTTGACAGCAGTGCAGTTCTATAAAAATTATTAAAATTTTTTTCAACTAAATGCGTATTAATTAATGTTAAAAAATGCACAGAATCCTTAACATTAAATTATTAAAATTCCACCATTAGCTCATGGTGGAAAAGGATGCATCTTGTATTGTAAATACGTAAAATATTGATTATGTTTGTTGTAGCTTAACTACATTGTATGAAAAAGTGCAAAATGGTACCATAATAATAATTAATTTGTGATAAAAAATTTTCTCGTTAATTGTGCGATTATTTCTTATATTAAAATTTTTTACTGTATTGATAAGCCAACGCGAGACCCGATTGAATTAATATAATTTGATATTAAATTTCAACAATATTATTGTGAATGATCAATTTAATATCAAAGATTTCTTTTTCAATATTTATCATTAACATTATTGAATAAAGCTTTTCTTGATTTATGATTAAATATAATATTTTTCCGTTATTGAAAGAGGCAGTTACATTATACTATTTTACTATTATCATGTATAATTAATATGCTTCAATTATCACTCAATCTATATAAACTCGATGTGCATTTAAAGTCAATTAATAATTAATAAAGTTAAGTTGATGTAATGTCATCTTGTTGCCAATAGATCTATACTGACAAAGCAGAAATTATCAATCAATAGCAAATATATGCTACACAACATGATTGTTTGCTAAACTTTAAATGATAACTAGTCGAATTTTTATTTATTAAACCTATCTAGCTTGCATCGATTACACAATTCAAATAATTAATATCAATATCCATATTCGATCATTTCACATAATTACTTATTAATTGAAAAATCCCATACAACTCAATATACGATTAATTTCCTTTTTAAAGTTCTTTGTTATTGTTATAAAAGAAATAAAATAGGAAATTTATATCTTAATAATTATAAATAAGTACTTCTGTCTTTACTATTATTATATTACTACACTTATTGGAAAGAAGAAAAATGCCAAACGATCATGGAATTAATTATACAACACACTTATTTTTCATTATGCGATAAAATTTCCATTTTAATTTCCGTTAGAAATTCGTATGTCTTAATGTCTAAATAACAAGTCTGATATCTTCAGTGCATGCATGTGTGGCCTAATCATTTTTTTAAATTATAAATACAAATTATGTATCTCGAGTAAAATATACTTCGATTAATGACAAAAAAGTCATGAAGATGTAAATGATGGTAACTTATCCTGAATGAGATATAATGTTGACAATACATTTAATTAATGAGTTTCCATTGTAATTAATTGGTAAAAGGATTATAATAAAATATAATATTGTCAACGTAATTTAAGAGGCTTAAATGGTAGACATGAATTATTAATTAATTAATTATCGTATTTAGATGGTAAATTGATAGATTACCTTCATTAATGAAGGTAAACAATACATGATGCATCTTGTCAAATTAGGCCAGAGATCAATTATAAACTGTATTCATTATAGTGATATCTTATTATTCAATTGCTCTAAATTATGGTATGAAACGAGCGTAATGAACCAATATACAAATATGGAACCCCGATTTTGTTTGATTCATAAAAATGGTCAGTTATGTAATTTTTTTTACAACATTCACTACAAATATTCATTATCTATGCAAAATTATATAAATTCACACGGTTACCACTTGTTGTATTCAGTTCGTTTTGAGTATCAAATAATTATTTAAAACTATTTTTACATTGTTTAAATTCGTTAATTACAGAATCATTATTGATTAAAATTATTTACAATTGATCGTCGTGAAAACTATATTCTATAAAATGAAAAAAATTTCAAATATTTTCATATTTGTCCTGAGAAAAATTGCATAATAAATTTATTTCATAAATGAAAAATTATATCAATTGCACTCGCAAATATATTCAAAAATGTATATTGTTTTGGATAGAGTTAATTCATCATATTATTAATATATTCCTATTCGATTATTAAAAATGAAGAAATCGTATCGTTTTGAAATTCATCTAGCAAAATAAGTAGAAGCTGAATCAACAAGCAGTAAAATAATACATTTCATACGTTTAAGTATGTTTATATATAAATTGAATTAAAAAATGTTAATGAATGAATGACAACCGAATCTAGACAATACTACCATACATGAATATTATTACATAGTCATACATACAATTACATTTGTTATAATATCATCTATTTTTGTTTAATTATTATTTAACATTATCATTATCAATATACGTGGCCAATAAGAACAGATTTGTACTTGCATTGAAATTGTTAAGTCAACTCCAATCATTTCGCACAGCCCAGTATAGCGTGTATGTTTTCATATATATTTATTATATATATGTATATTTTTTTTCTTCTTTAGTCGTTTTTGTTTAAAAATACAATTTTTCAATGGATGGCAGCATTTTTATTAAAAAATTGGCTTGGAGATTGTTGTAATGACATTTAGGAAGATTCCAGAATTTTTCTAGTAGATTCTAAGTGTTTAATAAATATGTGAAATTGTTCCAATTAGTCTCAATATCACAGAGGTTTGATCGGAATATTTAATTTGCTTCTTAAATCTTTTTTTCTTTTTTTTTTTAAGTAGGAAAATAGGTATCTACATACATATTACCGTGATTATTAACGATGATATTCATAACTTCTTAAAAATGCAATACACTATACATGGGCTAAACGCATTACAACATGGCTCCCATCACCTAAATCATTAAAATTAATTGATTTTATCGGTCAGTTTAAATAGAATGTGCGGTAATGTGGAGTATTTGAACATTTGCAATTATTTCAATAATAGTCTGTTGCGAGTGATAATCCTAGAGCCAGAATGTAAGGAGTCATCGGGTTTTCATAATCGGTAATCAGTTTTTGCTTTTTTATTTCGGTCTAGATCGGAGCGGCTGCTACCTGCGTGAAATCAAACCATTACTAGTCCCTATAGTCGGCGTCATTTCTAATTCCACTAGTAAAGGAAAATGATCTGCAAAAAACATTTAGTTTTTTCATTACATCCTTGTAGAGAAGTAAAAGGAAAGAAAATATTGCTTGATGATTTGTAAGTTTTTTTCCTTATAACTAGATACCAATTTACTGTGGTTAAATTAATCGTTATATATTATCTCATTAAATAGAATATTTTTTATACCTGAAGGGATATGAGGATGAGGACATCCCACAACCTTATGTTCTCTGAACCAGTCAGGACTTAAAGGCCCCAATAAACCTAGTGGAACCATACTTTGTTTCGAATAGAAAATATAATCAATAATTCCTTTGAAGTCGAATCTAAAAAATATAATTAGTGTATTATTAGTCAATATTCTTTATATTTTTCCTAGAATTTATTGTAAAATTACTTACGTATAATTGGTATACGGCATTATGTCTTCACTATAAGCTGAAGCTAACTTAAATGAATGGATGAATTCATTTGGTTTGTCGCATCCAGAAATTTTTTGTAAGCAAGATTTATAAGCAAGGTCTTTGAAATCACGGTGATCAGAAGCAACTCTTCCTGACGTCAAGAATTCTATTACACCTAGAATTTCATCCAATGATTGATATTAATAAATTAAAAATTTTGCAGTTGTTTCGATATTTGTATAATTGTTAGATATATTTATTTACCTGAATCTGGCAATGAATTAAAATCACCGCAAAGCAAAAGTTGTACAATATTGGAGTCAGGCTTATGACCAGGCTTGAATTGCTGGCTTGCTTGATCAAGAATAGATCGTAATTCGTTACTCAACATCATTGTCTGAATTAATTTTACATCACAATACTCAGGATCCCAATGAATATGAGCAGTGCATACGAGAATTGGTTGTTCAATTTGAACTGGATCCGAAGGAAGCCCTGAAAATATTAATTTTATAATAAATATGACTGAATTAATTTAAAAATATATTTAGAGAATGTTTACAATTTTAAATAACACACTAACAAATAATGTATTTACTTGAAACGATTTATTCAAAAATAAATTACAATTTATAATATATTGAATGAGTTATTATAATAACGATACATTGATTTTCAAAATATAAAACCTAAGATAAATTACTTAGAAAATGACAATTAATGTAAATACACCGTAAAGCAAAAGACAAGGATATGCAATAAGTAAACGTTGTTTTTCATCTCCAGACATTGCAGAAAATAATCTTGATGCTGATAAAGTAGCCCATGCGACAGCAAGTACTGCAAAAACTGTTCCTACTGGTCCTTTAAGAGTTGTGAAAACACTAAGTCCTGCTAGGACAACCACTGGGAGTAGACAATAGCCCAAAACAGAAGCGACTGAAGACAAAGTAACATTTCCGGTAGTGCTCATCAAGTATTGAAGCACGTACATTAAAAGACAGGATGTAGATGCGAGACCGTAAACGTAACCAAAGTGAGCTTTTGATCCAGCTAATAGTAGAAATGCTGCAAGGACTAAACAAAAAGCAACTGGTCCTGCTAAATCCGAATCTTGCATTAAGTAGTTTGCATCATCTGTTTGACCGCGTCTATGAAATGGATTTAATACTGCTAAAGTCTTCTGTATTATTCTATCTGGATCTATTCCAAGCTCTTCTAATAAAGGTGGTTCATCTTCTTCTTCATTGAATCCAGGTGCTGAAAGTTATTAAGCATTCAATATATTTAATAATCAATGGTAACAATAGTTTACTGTCAGTTTAAATAGATATCAAATGAATGGTAAATACTTGTAATGATTTTATTGCAATTATTTGATGAAATACTAAGTTTAGTGATTGGTTATGTTGGTGATAAAATATAAGTTATACTTACTTTTTCCATAATCATTATCTGGATACATCATATCACCAGTATATACATTTTTAGTTGGATCCAAAAAGTTTCCTGGCGGATATGGAGAATATACAGGTGATTGATCATCTGTGTATGATTGAAAATCAAACTGTTGGTTAGGTTGACCAAATCCTGCAGCTTCAAAGTTATATTGGCCTTGAGAAGGTGGGTCCCAAGGAATATCTTGTTCACCATATCTTGCCATTTTATATTTTACAATTAATTATATAAATTATTGATGATTTTTTGTAAAATTGAACAAGTATCTCAGCACCTTTGTTGACAACACGACAGTAAGTATGATCAAACAGATGTCACTTCTATTTCCTTCTTTATCGACTGAATTTTTTCCAGTAAAGAATGATATAAATTTTTGGCAGATGACAGCACAGTATCAATTTCGCGCGCAGTTTACCACAACTTCAAGTTTCTAATTTTTAAATCATTCCAGTAAAACTGAAGATGGATAAAAATGTTAGAACTTTGTTCAAAATGTATTCATTTGAAACCAGTTTACCCAACAGGTATTATAAAATTGTTCAATCGATAAAACATATTTCAATAAAACAACTATGTTTTTCTTCCTTGCATTTAGTATTAATTGAGAAGCTGAGAAAGTAATGCGGTGATTCCCATTACAGAAATAAATCAGTCCAGTTTAGAATAGGTATCTCTTAGGTATCATGGGCGTAGCACAACCGGTTAAGATTCTCTCAGTCCAGTCAGAGTACCTCAACCTCCCAGACCTCGTAAATTACAGGGAATCAATATCACAAGAATGGGCTTTTACAAGAAAGCTTTTATCGGTAGGTTGAATGAATGGCTAGAGTCGTCTCTACTGTAAAAAAAATTCTCTCTTTTTTAAAAAAAATATTCTTTGATGGATCAACGCCTCGGGGACATCTAGACGTCAGTCTTTGTTTCAACTGAACAAGGAAGCCAATCATAAATTCTATAGCAGTCAAACATGTCAGGGTTAATATCACGATGTTTCATAAAGACAATAAATTCCTCAAATACCATTTTTTTAAACGTCTTTGATACTTTTTTTCACATCACAATAGTAAATGACTATTGATATAGCTGTTAAATGAGATAAAATATTTTCAATTGTATATTAATTTTTGCAATCATTTTACACAAGTAAATATGAAAAATCTTTAGTATGATTTATGCTAGAAATTATGAATAGAATATTAAAACAATCGACACGTCATGTATAAATGGTATTTAACCAGCAGCACTTCATCTTTTTAAGAAGAGAATGCACGTGTATTCATGTTATGTATGTGTTAATACAACGAGACAAGAATAATTGTACAACACTTTGAGTCGCAAGTAATTAATTAAACACTTCTCACGCTCTTTCTCTTTCCTTCAACGTAACCAAAGCTATCGTACTTTGCTCAGTTGGAGAATGTACTGCACTTACAACTTGAGATGAATACTGACATATTTCTCCAAGTTGGATTCTTGTCTAGAAAACTACACCAATCAGAACTTTGATTCTGTCAAATGTATTTTCGAAAACTTTAGACAAACAAAATTTCAATTATATATTACTTTAATTAAAGGCTCTTAAAAAAAAAAAGTAATAAAAAATATTGAAATTATAAAATATAGTAAAATAAATGTTAGATGAATAGAAAGTCAGGAGCTGTTCACATAACATTTATGTATGTAATACATATTCTATAATCGAATGATTAATTCAATGATTTGACTTCATACTAATACGTCCTAATTCCAACCTAATCCTACACTAAATGCAGAAAGCGATTAACTGCAACTATTATGAGGTAATTTAGTCTCTAGTTTATTGATGTTAATGACTATTAATCTCTTTTTTTACATCAATAAAGCATTAATATTTTATTTCTTATAAAATAAATATGGTAAAATATTTTTCCTATTTATACACTAAGAAAAAATTTAATGTGAACAAATAATATTTTTTGCAAAATTTTGAATAGTCGTAATCAAATTTTTTTTTGATTGGCATAGTAATATTTTATAGATTCAGTTCTTAGTGGATTCGATTATTTTAAATAAAATTTCTAAATTGGAAGTGTTTTATTTCAATGCACTTAAGTGATTCAAAATGATGTTACCCATTTCATCAGCATTGTAGTTACTTTAAATGCATTTTTACGTATTTAGAAAGTAACTACAATGCTAATTAAATCGGTGACATCATATTAAAGCACTTTAAGTGCATTAAAATTTTAATATCACTTGTATTTAAATTTATCATAAGCTTAAAGTAAATTTCAAAATACATTTCATTAAATTCAATAAAATATTTCAAGTTCTCTTTATCAATTAAATAAAGATTTTTTGAAATATTTTTATGTAATTAATTATGTGCAAATAATTATCATTTATTTAAATTCCACTGAAATGTTTTCATTCCAGATATTTTTTTAACAGTGCATGTTAAATGTCATTAGCAAATAGTTGGGGCATATGAAGATGAACCGAATAAGTAAAAAGTATGAGATTACGACAGCGTCAATTTATTGCTGAATACTTGTGTATGTGTAGCAGTTTTCTCTGTGTCGAACTTGATCTTTCTCGGTCCACACTTGGTTGCGTGTCGATGCCAGTACATCCCCATCAATTACCTATGATCTCGCGTTAATTGGCTTGAATTACAGAAATGCGTATCTTGAGACTCGTTTACTATCCACAGTGCAAAATTATTACTTGAGAAATAAAATAAGGTAATAAAAAAAAAAAGGAAAAAAATCTTGAGACACGAGTGGTAAGCGATCATCGTTGGATCCTTTAGCACTTTCCTCTGGCATTTACTTTCAAGATCGTTACATGTTCAGTATACTATTTGAGTTTCATTACTGACGAAATAAGAGCACTCCAGGAAATGATACACGATTATGGTACGAGTTTACTTGCTGGCATTTATATGATTTCTCAACAACTCTTTGCCGTCAATAAGCCTTACAGCTTTAAAATATCCATTGCTACAACTCTCTGTTAATTTATCATCTGGACAAGGTAATTGATAATACATGCATTTTATTGTAAATTTGATTATATGCATTAATGTCATCTGCCTTATCGATTCTTTAAGATAACTCGTTCATACGATTTAAAAATAGTAAAATTTATTTTACACTCTTTTTCTTCGATCATTAATCCACTCATTTATTTGGCACTTTTTTATTCTTTTATTGATAAACAAATGAATTTTTAACCGACGAAATATTTTTTTTATTGCAAAAAATTTTTTATCCCTATGAAGAAGCATTGATCATAGAGAAATGACTTGGTTAATAGTAAAAAGCCTTGTTTTATCATAAAGAAATATTTTTTAAGGTAAAAAAATATTTTTAAGCATTTACGGAATCTCTTCTATCAGTGTATTCTTTTTTTTTGTATCGATAGCTTCCATTGGTAAAGGTTTTTATACTTAAAAAAGTAGGTATTAAAAACTCATTTCTTTGTGAGTTAAATTAAAAAAAAAGTAGTAAAACAAAATGTAACATAAAATACTCACCATTATCCCAAGCTGCTTCGGTTGTTTTAAGCAAAGCTGCTAATCCGATATTATCCTTAGGCATAACTCTATTTAACATATGGTCCGACCCTTCGGCATTTGCCATTGCCAATTGATTAAATTCTACAAGATGGTCTTTTATCAAAGTGAATCTAAAAAAGGAGTAATAAAAATTTTTATTTCTCAATAATTAACAGACTAATGATCGGAATGAAAAATCGTTTTAATAATTAAAGACTGTGAAATGAAAAAAATTCAATAAAAGAATTTTTTGCGGCTATTCTTTAGGGTGACTTATTGAGTATTGGTTATGCACATATGGGTTAATTTTTTTTCTCTGACAGAAAATCCAATGGAAAAAGTTTAATATCATCAAATATCAAAGTATCGAAAAAGTGTAACCTAAAATATGAAGTTTGGAATATAATTTCGTTTGACCATGTGACGCATATAAGTTTTTGAACATACATCTACTATCTTTGTAACTGTTACAGATGGAGTTGGATATTTCCATAACTTTTTTTCATTTCATTTGTCTCGATAATGAATTAGCAATATTAATTAAATGAAAATTTTCCACTTGAAGTAGTCAAGTTGATAAAAATAGACTTGGACAAATATAAATAGGCGTAAGTGATCAGTCGTTGTTAAGAATGTGTCATGTTATTATTCAACGGGTCACATGGAACATCGATAGTTATGGAGATATATACTGTAGCAAGCATTTAATAGCACTTGGAACGTAGGCAGATATAAACGAACCGTTACTACAGGGGGACATACTTAAATAGTAACCGCGAGAAGCAAGATTGCATATATGCTTGGTCTGGCTATACATCACGGTAATGGCCTCTCGTAGCTCGATAACCCGGAGCAACGCGCCTAACAAATATCGCAAACTGGACTTCAATTGCATCGCGATATTGAAAATAAACGCGACCTTTGGTACATGGACATATAGAAGCGGTCATGCACATACACGTTTACCAAGTGATAAAGCATACAATGGTTAACTTAATGTGAATGCTCTAGGGACCCTCCGTGAGAACGAGAGACGTAAAGAGGTAGAGTCGTCGCGTTATCGGAACGATTCTCTCTTCGGGCGGTACTTTTGCGAGCAATAAACTTACTCTGAAGGAAAAGAAAAGGTAAGACCAACTCTTGGGAGTTGAGATGGACTAGAAAGGAAACTTTTCAAATTTTTCAATGCTAAATTTTCCCTTCCACTCGATCACCTCTTGTTTTCAAGTAACCCCAAGTAGTTTGGGACAACCGATTTATCTAGACTTTGTCGATCGTCCAAGTGATGGCTACTTTTTTCCTACATCATTGATCGACGAAAAGAAAGAAATAACCTTCGAGAAAGTTGGTAAAGTATTTTACCCCAAGCAGTCATGTATCCAAAGTCGCAATATAGGGTTTTTTTCATATTGTAGAGTCCTGATTTTTAAGGATTTGAAATTATCTTTCAACATTTCTGTTTATTATTATTTCTTTTGTGTATGCATAAATAATATGATTAAAATTCAAAATTTATTTGCATTTATGTAAAGTACTAAGTTGATTAAAAAACATGTAAGTACGCATTAGTTCTCAAAAAATATAAGAAAAATAATACTGAGGGTTAAAAAAGGATTATTATCGAAAGAAAGAATCTCAAGTATTAAAGCAGATTTCGAAAGTGGCGAAAATGATCTAAAAGGACTTAAAGAAGTACCTATACTTCGACTCGGGATATTTCACCATAAAAGTGAAGAGACAAAAATTTTAATGGTGAAAAGATGAAGAGAATAAAAAAAAAGATTTACTTACTTGGCTGTTCTATAAAAGATTGCACAACCATCAACGTATTTTCTGTCATTTTCAGCCATCGTTTTAGCTCGAGATTTAGGAGAGAAAATACCATCATAGCCATCATGTTTAAGTTCTGGCAAGAAGAAGTTGTAAAATTGGTCCGTTTCAACTTCTTGGAGGCTTATCAAATCGGCTGCATAATGACGAATCTCTTGAAGAATTCCCTTCTTCCGATATTCCCAGTCTAGTGCCCAGCTTGGACAGTAGCCATACATCTGACGTGTCGCATATTTATCGCACAAAACGTTGTAACACATTACAGTAAAAATACCTAGAAAGAAGTTCATAAATTACTTTAATATTTGCAAGTGAGTTAATCAAGTTTTATTATTTTTATTGCAGTCGATAACTTTAATTAAATTACTACATTTCCTTGAACTCTTCTTTTCAGCATAAAATAATCTTAAATAAAAGTTTTCATTCAAGAATTAATTACAAGTTCTCTAAAGTCATATCCGAGTACTGAAAATCTTTTATGGTCAAACTTTTGTAAATAAGACGATTTACAAGCTCATCCAATACTTCTAATTAAACCCCTTGGTATGGATGCTTATAATAGAGCCAGGAAATCTAATGGAGATTACTATTTATATATCTGATTAATTCTTGCCAATCGAGATTGAGAAAGTTTGTACACACAAATGCTAAAGCTTCAAGATAATAAACTCAATCTGTTAACAAATCGACAATAGAATTTTCTAATTATCATCAAGCTCCCTTTACTTTATGTTGCTCGTTCATCTTTCAAGGAAAGCTCTCTATGAAGATTTAACGTTTAGACAAATTTTTATTGAAGAAAACCACGTCTCCCTGACTCTTATCTGATTGTTTTTTTACCTCAAATGAAATATTTTATGTATTTAAGTAATTTAGATAAACAGTGGATCAACATTAAAGTTAATGTTAAGTCATAAAGATAATTATTAAAGTGACACTGACACTTGAAATTATTATCATTGGTTTTTATGCTGTTTTACTTTATTTTATTTACTTTAATTAATGAAAATGATATTATTATTTAAATATCAATGATTAAAACAATTATTTATGACCATTCATGACATTAAAATAAAATAATTGAGTCTGGGCTTACTTTGTACCCTGACGACAAACTTCCCATTCATTGAAATCAATAATTTTTTCATCTTTTAGCTTTTTTACAATAACTTCCTAACAGGAAGTTAAAAAAAGCAATTGGTGAGTTGAAATGTCTTTTTCCCAGATAATAGTACAGAGATTTGTTGAATTTTTTATTTTAATGTGTTGAGATGTATTTTTGATTACAAGGAAGGAACAAATCTGAATTTGAAATAAATTTTAATAAAACAGCAAATGCAAGGATAAAATCCTTTACTTTAAATGAAGAGCCTTGATAGTAGCATGTCTCACTTTACCCAATACCGTGAGTTCCAACCCACGGGGAGGATAAGAGGATCAACATAAAGTGAGCTGTCTTACTAACGTCGCGTTATACGTCTGTATAAATTTCACCCATCACGACTTTGCTCTCTCATCCTTTATCTCTCATGCATGACTGTATGTTATGTGCAAGGCTTCTAGGTTGACTTCTATGCGAGTATTTTCATTTCAGTTCCAGATACTGAAGATCAAACTCTTTGAATAAGAATTAGCACTGGCTAACTTGATTTCTACTTGTCAACTTTACTTATATGAAATTTAATAAAAGTCATCCACATGCAAATGTCTGCGTTTGTTTCATCGAAATGGAAAGCTCGACAATATAATGTCTTTAAAATAAACCGACTGCAGTAATTGGATTTCCGTCTCATGCTCTCAATAAAAACTTGTTCATTTTGGAGATTAATGAGTAAATGTACACCTGTGCATTAGCTTGATTACAGAACAATATATATATCTGAAAATGTAATGTATGTTTTCCAAGTATAGACCTTGGCATCAATTTCTCTCTTTTTCTCTCTCCCTTCATTTCTACCTTTTTCTCATCAATGTTAAATGTCATTATCAGAGCCCAGTGTATTGTAAATTTCAAAACAATCCACTGTCAATTTAATTCAAATATTTCACAGACGAATGCTGTTATGAATCTAAACGACTTGAGACTCATTTGTAAAGATGACAGTAGGGACGAACATTATTTGAATTCGATGAGGCGTAATATATGCATTAGTAATGAAAACAACCCTCCGGACATTCAACTTGAAATATTGCAACTTCAAAGTTATTCTATATTTCTACAGCAAAACAAATGACAATAATGCCATTCATATTTTGAGTGTATAGAAATTTTTTTGATTAAAAATAAATTGGTTTCATTTATTATATAGTTAAATTTTGTTGATTAAGATTAAATTGATGAAATTGATCAACTACAATTGACTATAAATTAAATATTAACAATAATTAATACATGAAAATTGTTAGAGGAATATTGTCTATGTACAGAACAAATACTACTGTAATTAATATTAATTTAGAATATTTTTATTTAATTACATTTGAAGATTAAAGTAAAGTGGTTATTCAAATCCAATCAATTGTGCAATATATTATTACCATACCACATGATGACCACTTTTATTTTATTTGGAATAAGGTTTTAGGTTATCTAGTTTATCCATCAGATTGGATAGAGCACTAATGCGTCTGATCCATTTTAAACTCGTTACAATTGTAGGAGTGCCGATAAAACGTGTTCATGTACGATAAAGAAAGTATCGTCAATCGAGATAAGCACCGATCACGTACCCTTTGATGACCCAGAGAGTGCATTGGAGTTTACTTCACAAGATTAATCACTTCTCTTGTTCCTCTTTTTCAAGAGAAATTGGATTTCTAAAATGAGGATTTTTCTAGCAGACTATCTTTTACCTACTTTATTAAATATCAAATAAAGCTATAGGCTTAAAATTTTTTTTTTTTTTTAATCCAACTGAAAAAGATATTCCTTTTCATGAAAAAATTTTCTCTCATATAACGTTTTGCAAAAAAGTAGAAAATGTGAAGTTGTGGAAATGTAGAAAAAAAAGAGAATGATAGTTGAGTGAAGAGAAATAAAGATTGGCCTTTTGTTACTTTACCCTTAGGGTATAACATCGATCCATACTTGAACAACGTTTATGTTGAGAGGGAATGGATGAAGAGAGAATGTCGACAAAGACAGAATGGACTGTGATGATTCTGGTGCTAATCAATTTTTCCCACTTCATTGCGACAAACATCTTGTTACCGACGGAACTGCCGAGGGAGTTGAAGGGTATGGAGAGAAGAGAAAAGCTAATGAGATCAAGAACCACTTGGGAGTTGGAGGCTGTAACAAAGCGAACGTAGAAAATAAAGAGAAAGCAAATTCGATTGATTACCACGTAAATTAGTAGAGAGAACAAAAAAAAGAGTACAAAAAAATTGATCGGATTAACGAGGAATGTAGATGTATTATTGGTCCATCGTGATGATTACGTTTCAATCATAGCAGGAGAATATTGATACAACCATTAGGGAAGATACCTAATACTTGTCAGACAGTTGCAAAACGTAAAGCCATTAAGCTGTGCACTGTAAGACAAGCAAAACGTTCGGAATGGCCGAAGGAAGTTTATTTAAATCGTAAGTCTTGAATGATCGGTAGATGGCCATCGATCTACGTCAAGCAACGACCAACACTGTTCGCGTGTAGATGCTTGTACTTTGTCATACGACAGATAAGTACTGTAGAGATAGGTCTGGTGGCGAGTTCAAAGTGTGTTTGCCGCAGAAGCAAACGATGCTTGTTGGTGCCCTGGAGCATAAGATGCACGACACACCGTGGAGAAACGTGCCTACGGAGGTAGCCAACCTGTTAATCACTTCAACGCAGTAAAGTGTTTACTAGAGAGGAATATACATTGCAGGAAGCCTGAAGGTTTTATGAGAAATGAAATACAGGGACAAAATAACCCCTACCTGTTTAGAGATGGAATAAAACATGATTGGTTGGATGGTAAATTTATGATCAGTACTCCTAGTTGCTAGCATAACTGCGTATTTTTCTTTTGTTCTAAAAGGCTTTTATGTCTTTGTCTAAGTGACTTTATGAGAAGTGTATTTCTTGGAGACTTAGGTAAAGGATGGAGTGTGCAAGGTCGTCTACTCTTGCACACTCCATCATGGCTTTATGGTTGGATAGCGTCGATTCGATGTTGGTCGTTGTCGCATTGGAAGCCACAGGAGGGTAACTCGGTGTCACGATCGATTCTCGATGGCGCTTGAAACGAGCTTAGCGCTTCGTTGCACAGATAAGTACATTATTTATCATTTTTATAACTGCTTTGAGATAATTATTATATTATTGCTTTACTATATCACTATTTAAAATATTCATAAAATGAATAACAAATATATCCCATAAGATTATTGTCTCTGCAGTCTGCATTGAATTAGACTTGAAGCCAGACAAACTGCTCGCATTGAAAAAGATTTGGTATAATAAATAATCGACTTTACGCCTTGTGTATATCCGATACCAAAATCGCTGCTTCTCTTGGTCGCATTTATCGCACTATAAATCGACGGTTGCCCTCGAATCTTCAACGATTTATCGAGAGGAAAACCTGTAGTACAACAGAGAAAAGCCTGCTGAAGTACCGACGTACGTATTGCGCATTTGCACGTTGAGCAAAAAAAAAAATTATTCCTGTGTGGTTGCGATTACGAACAAAATACAACAGAGTGGTACCAGCATGCCTGCACCCAACTATGATAATAATAATAATACTTGACGATAATGTGAATAATAATATAATCGTTTCACTTTGAAATGATCATCCACGTGGGCCGAAGATAATAACTATTGCTGCCAGACGTGTCCAAGTAATTATGATGCATCGTATCCTCTATATATACAAGACATACATATATATATCTATCGTTAATTTTATTTCAAGGTATATACACTGTCGACTCAATCACCACACCAGCTACTACTCCCTTATAAATCATATAGATTTCTCCGCTAATTTTATACTTCTCTTTTTATTTATTCCTATAAATTTTATCCTCATTTTTCTTTACATTCTGTAAATCATTCATATTTATATCTCTGTGGTTATCAAAAATTTATTTTAATTGATAAAATTGTTTTTTTTTCTCCAACAATTTATTTCAATGTAATGTAATAAAATAAATGTCGTAAACGAGAAAAAATGAGTTATATCAATTAAATTGACAGAAATGTAAAAAGAGTTAGTGTTTCTCAACGATAGTTATTTGAGCCAATGTACTGACTTACTGAACCGGTAAGTTTCGTAGCCCTGAAGCTAGTGCATATAATCCTCGCCTCTTGCAGAACTATACTACACACATCGTCGACAGATTTATTGCTTGGACTCTCGCTGGCTCATACTTGTTGTGGCTATATATTTGTTGGTTGCTACTATTGCTACTTCTATATGGACTGCCTTTGTATGCCCCAAAAAAGACTATTGTCAACTTGCATGGAATAGAAACCATAAATCGTTTCATTATGGTTTAATCTATTTATTATTTATAATGCATTCTTTTGCTTGGTACAAGTGTAGAAGCAGGAAATCCTTTCTCATTCGAATTCTAATGTCGTGTACATCAATTGTTCATTTTTTAAATGATACATTAGTTAGAATGTTATGTAGAGTTAAATTTCTCAGGTTTACACTGAGCTATTAAAAATAGAGTTAATGAAAAATCTTAATATAAAAAAATGCACTGATTTCAAAAACATATGGGTTCATTGGTATCGCAGTGTACTAATTAATTAGCGGGAATGCGCACAATTCAAATTAATAGTTTCTGCGCATATAAGTCGATTGATTAGTGTAATGAGATTTTTTATTAACCCTATTTTTAATTGCACCAGGATTAGACTTCATATCAAATAAGTTTCAATAATATGAGCAATAAAATGAGATGGTTGATAACTTATGTAAGTATAATTATCGTCTATTTATATTCGATATTGGTGTAAAAATGTTAGAATTAATAAATAAAGTTTTTACGACACCATGAATTAATTATCGTGTTGTTTACAATTTTAATTAATCGAATAAATGAACGTCGAGAATAAAAAGATATAAAATAATATAAGATACAAATGATAGGTTGGAGAGTCGACTTAATTTTATATCCGGGCGGCTTGTTGATCCTCGTGCGATTATCAATTAGCCGCGGCGCTGTTATTATTAGAGCACATTAATGGCGTCACACCGAGACTGAGTTATAGACCTCCCCAGGCGGTTATTCGTTCCGGTTGCGAGTATAACGTGCGTAATGCATTGTTAGTCACAGAAATCTTGAATTGCCGCATGAGTACGATCTCAATAATCTTTCTCGCATTGACGCCGTTACGTCGACGTCTTTATAGCCTGTGCTGCTTTCAAGCTGTGGATATTAACGCAGTGTCTTTATATGCATTTGAAAATTTACATCAGCTGCACAAGCATTCAATGCAGCTCCCACCGAGCAATAATAATTTATATCTCTCTAGAACAGTCATACGTGAGAGGCTTCATCTATTGCTTCTTGTGAAATATGGTCATGTTAATTTCCGTTGAGTTGAAACCATATCTTTGCATATGTATTTACGGAAAGATCATCATCATAACATCACATATCAATTTCGCTATACAAGTGTGATATCAAATCTAGATAGTAATAAAATCTGTTATATCTTGATTGACTGTCAAATGAATTGACGCTTGTGTTTCATAGCCTTCAGAATTTTTTGTTTGTTCAAGAATTCAATTATTGCAATGCAATCATCGTTATATAGTATGGCACTGAATATAGACGACTGTTTGCCAATGTCAATAATACTTTGTTTGATGATTAACGTTTGACTAGAATTCACCATTCTAATATACAAAATAATCACGGAATTGTTGTTAATTTAATTGACATACAATTTTCAATAACTATTTTAGTAATTCATTCAAGAGTATTGATTGAAAATAAATTCATTGACTTACATGTAGGTCTCGTCCTATTGGGTCTTGTCAAGGGAATCCATGGTCTCTGAGGCGGACTGTTAGCAGTTACTGAAACAAACAAATAACACTAATTAATATCTTTGAAGATGAATGTTTATGTTAGAATATAACTCCATTTGATATTTTTAATACTGATGGGTATGACATTACTATCTTACTTTAATACTCTAGCTATCTTGACCACAGTCTAAAGCGTTTCAATAATGTTAGGCTATCAAGACAGTGATAGATCTCCAGAAAATATCTTGACAAGTAAACACATCAAGTGGAGGCTTCGTGAGAGATAATATTTAAAACAAGAAAATCAACAAGACAGGTTGAGAAAAAAATATATACATAAAGTTAGTTTAAGTATTCTACACAAATTCTAGGATGGTGTTCATAAGACGCTGGCTAGATGTTCATCGTTATTAGCATAAAACTATCATTACTCTGTTGTGGTAATTTTAGCAAAAAAGATACTTTAGCTGATGTTCTTACCACTTCAGGGAAAAATAAAGTTGAGTAAAAATCGTGTCAAATAAATTTTAATTATAGATCTCCATTGAATGGGCTGCTGTCTTTGTAAAAAAAAGTTCATTTAGAAAGGGATGAATTTTTAATAAAGTATATGAATAGAAGATGGCACTTCATAATGTGAAATACAATAGAAAATTAATAGAAAGATGATTAATATCATACTGTTGGAGAGTATTGTCGGTTCTCATATTTACGCCTTAAAGTCAGAGGCTTTCAACCCCAATATAGCCTTTGTGTCGTAATAGCTGGAATATTCGAAGCGTGGGAAATGATGGCAAATCTGATGAAAGAAATACAAAGGGGTCGTATAGGTAGTATAAGAAACAGGGTTGAGAGTCTCTAGTTAAAGGGAGGAGTGAATGTAGAGTGAGAAAGCCGTCACGAAAATTAATGCTTCCAGCAAAGTACTTGGGCTTCAAGTAGCGTCCACGATTGCCTGAGATAATCGGTTCTTTGCACGCGACGCTGTTAAATACTCTATCTAAGAGAAAGTACTTGGCCCACTCTATTTTCTTTTAAAGTCAATTATTTAATACGTATTTTATGCACTAGATAACTTTAATAAACAATTAGAGTAAAGAGTCATGCAAATTGAAGCTTTGGACAAAGAAATTGATAGAATGGATATTTTTTTTAATACTTTGAAAAAGGGTATTACAATGTATATCAAGGTATTTCGATTAATATTAATTTTTTCTTGAGATTTTTTTTTACTTCATTAAAATGAACGATTATTATCAAATAAAACTCACGAATTAATTTAAATATTTATCGAAAAATAATTGACGATTGAATGAACTTTATACAAAATTTATTTTAATAACTTTAACTGGGTCTTTTTTTGATATGATACAAAGCAATCGAAATATCTTAAAGCATGACCTATACTAGTAGCTTACTTGGCACAGTTATAAGTGAAAATTGAGATCATTTATGTTAATAGCAATAGTTTTGTGTTCCAGAAATATTGAATGTGTCTACAATCGATCGACAGAAGATTCAAAGACCCTTAACGACTTCTTGAAAGTCACGTTAACGACTCTACAGTTTCACTTGCATAATTCAGTCTTGACATAAATGAAGGTACATTAAGGGCAAGTCTCCAGCTACGTTGTGTCTGGACGTCTAGGAGAATATAATCAGAATTAACAATTCAGAGTCGTGTTATAACGTCAGAAAGCGAGATAGGGTAGAACTAGACTAACCCTCATGGGTCCTAATACTAAAGAGGTTGTGAGGTTTCATCTCTAGCCTTTTCAAGTGGACATAGTTTGGTTACGAACAACTACTTTAGTTGCACAGACTATTTCTACTTAACTTAAATGTAGTCGTATGTAAAGCTGATTAGCTTTTACTTCGTGACTTCTCAAATAAAGTAGATATTATACGGTTATATAAATTTACTGCATATTCTTATCTGAGTCTCATGTTGCATGTATTAGAATTTAGTTATAATAATATTTGACTTGACTTTTAAAAATATCATTATTGTATTCATTATATTTATAGAACCAATTGAAAATAATACAGGCTTATGGTCATTTTCTTTATGTAAAATGTCTTGGATTTCAGTGCTATCAAGTAGATTACATCGATAGTATTATATTGACCACATTACTGTACTTAAAAGAATAAATCAACCTGGAGATGGTTGAAGTAGAAAGAGAAAGAAAATGAAATAATTAAGAGCTTTTATGAGATCTTGTGAACATTCATTAAACTTGTTCATTACATTGAATTCCATCGACCTAGACACTAATATCTTCTTTTTCGTTAACTCTGTCATTATTGCAGGAAATAATTAACTCTTGTTTATAGATAGTTGACCCTCGCCCTTTGTTCTCTCCATTCCATTATTATGCTTCAGAAATTTCACGATTAGTTTCATCTGTATCATAAATTTATACACAGTGTTCAATGTTGATGACTTTAATTGTTATAAAAATACAAGATATTTTTTTTTTTCTTAGATTAAACGAAAAACAAGTAATTAGTACAAAAAATTGATATCTCTTTTTCATTAGCTAATTTTCTAGATGAAAACATCGTTCACAAGAGGATTTGTAGTATCAGAAGCGTCTCGAGAAACCATCAGGATACTCGAGGGACTATCAAGAAGATTACAAAGTCGTTGAGGGTGAGAGCTTCTGTACCCTATTCTATAAAGGTAGAATGAGGAGGAGAAGAAAGTAGATATGCTAGAACCTTAAGATAGATCCCGAAGCAACTATAGATATATAAGACCACAGTATACCCTCTACGGAAATGGTTATTGTATTTGTTGGTGAGTCTTACAGATATAGAGAGGTCAATCTCGTCGAAATAAGAATGATGATGGATTTTGTTTATAAAAATAATCATAGATAGACTTTGGTGGGTTTATTATTTGATATAAAGAAAATTCTTTATATAAAAATTGGCAGACAGAAAAAGAAGACAAAAAGGGAGTTGATGGGTATGATGAGGAAATGTGAGTTGGTCAAAGTCTAGAATTCACTTTGATAATGAATTGCTTTGCAAACGAAGCGCCAGGAGAAGAACGAGACTAAAATTACTTGGTGTCTCTACCAAGCAGAATGACTAATTAAAGAGAGTTTAGGACTTTGCAAGTTGAATTTCCAAGAAAAAAAGTGTAAAATAGAAAAGAGGAATTAAATAACGTTTGATCATGACACTCGGCTTAATAAAATAATGTAAAATTCGTTTGTAAAGGCATGATAAATTTATTATAAATTCAAGAAGGGTTAAATAATGATAGCCAAGGGGTAAATTTTCTTCTCTGCTAAATGAAATGAACATCCAAGTTCATTAACTCAGTAATAGTTATTATCGTAGCATTCTTCAATTTTTAGAGCTTATGAAAGTAAAGTAAACCTTTGATTATTTAGATAAAACTTGGCATTCGGAGTCTTTTGTGTAATATAACCGGCAAACTTGCTACAGTGTTGTATTTACCCTTTACGAAGTAGAAAAATTATCGGAAACACGTAAAAGGATGCAAGATAGATCTTCGATATCCTCAAGACTGGGCTCAAATACGTAAGCCGATTGCATGTCGCAAAAGAAGGAATAAAAAAGAATGTAGACGGAAATAAATAAATAATCTTGAGCGTTCTCAGAACGTATAGAACTAAGAGTAAACCCCTCCTTGTAACTTTCCAATTCCAGGCTTGTATTCTTGGTGATTTTGCGCAAAAAGTTGACTTGTATCCTTTTCTATCCACTTCTTCTCTAGCTCTTTCTTTTGGCTTGGTAAAGAACAGATAGGGAGGCGATTCGCCGAAGGCGTAGATGCGTTTGCACGATTAGACTGTTAGGTTGAGAGACTCGACATTCTTCGAAATAAAGTTAATTAAGATCTCGGTAAAGTAAGAAGGGAAAAGGGTTGAACCCCATTCGATTGACTTATGTAATGCATATTTATGAAAAAATATTCACCTCCCTATTATACTTTTAATTTTGTTATTGATACACTTTTAACTTTAAATACTTATAAGCTTTGTTATTTAAACTTTTTAATATAATCATGAAATTCACCTGGACAGAATTCACTTTTTCTCCAAGACGGAAGTTGTAAAGAAATTAATTAAAGTTAAATGGAGTATTTTTTTTTTCTTTCATCTATTTACTACAGAAAAATTAATTTACCCATCTGCTATAAATTAACTATAAAATAATATTAAATGCTTCAATTTAATAATATCATTAATAATTGATTTAATTAATAAATACTTGATAAATAATTACTTTATTTCAATTATTCATTAAATACAAGTTTTAAAGTTCATTGAAAGATTAAATTGAACTGTTAAAAAATAAAAAAAAAAAAATTATTGATTACTCGTTGATATTTACTTTAAACATTTCTCAATTAAATGTAATCAACAATTCAAGTTGGTGTTCAAAGTGATAGAAATATTGTGCAATTAAAATGATAATCAGAAAGTAATAGAAATGAAAGATAAATTATAAAACTCATGGAGTAGAAAAATAATAAAAATTAGTAAACACGTAGTATTAATGTCAGAAATAATTTAAATATGCAATTAACAATTATATCTAATTTATTCAATTTTTGATTTTATTAATATATATGTAGAAAATAATAATAATACTTATTTATTTTTAACACAGCTTGAATATTGAATATATTAATAATTACAAAGTGGTAATATCTATTATGAATGAAAGAGAATTCAATGAATTATAGTATGAAAATGAAAGAAAAAAAGATAATAAACGGATGCAGACTTGCGTTAGGTTGGTGTCGCAGTGAGATTTTATCAGGGCACGTAGGGAGCGATAAATTTCTATATCGTGAAATTTAATAGCATGACAAGAAAAGACGACTTGGGTTGGGTTTATATATTACAATTACCCTTGACGGACGATATAAGCATTCGAATCCTGCTGGTAGAAGACATTTATATTGCTCGTTTTCACATAGCAAGTCGTGGCATACAATAGAGTAGTATTTCCGTTTTACTTTTCTTCCTCTTCTCTATTCTTTCTTTCCCTTGAGGAATACCGTTAACGCCCCCTGCGGGAAATATTTCTCGAGGGAGCTCTTTATATACTTGCTAAATATCTCTTCTGTTCTCACAAACTGTATTTATTATTCATGTAGTAGTATTTTCACCCTATCTACGCGAATATTCTGTTAATTTGTGTTCCAGTGAATTTATGCGATATTTACTGAGTACAAACTTAGGATAAGGGTAAGTTAATCAAGACTTGAAGTAGTTACCTGAAGGTATATTTTGAACCGGGCGTTACTACTTGCTGAGATGTTTATTGTGGATGCGTCACTAAATATTAAAATATTGACAATTCTGCTATGCAACAACTCCTAGTTACACCTTAGTCCCATTTAGGATACTGCACCAGTACCAGATTAAGATTTACTACGTGTATAATAAATGCCGTTAGACAAGAAGTAAATGATCTTTTAATATTCCCGAGTAATCCTGTGTAGAGATTAGTGGATTAAATGTGGTATTCTTAGTGTCAGACACTGAGTTACTTTATTTTATCAAAATACCCGTTGCTATATATATACAATAGCAGACTTAAGCACTTGGTATAGATGAGAAGGAAGAGAGACAAAAAAACAGCCAAGGATTATTCTCTTAATATACTTTGAGATGTAATTTCATCTAGGAAAACTAAAATATAAATCTTAAATCTAAAATGGTTGGACTTTTATTGTAAAAAATATAGTAAATCAGGTAAGGAATTGAAATATTTACCATGATTATCTTTGGAGTAGGCGATATCACAAGATGTGATCACGTCAAAAGAACAAAGTTATTTGATAATAACCTCATGAGGATATATTGGTCATATCTTGGTTGGCTTAGTGGTTAAATCGAAAAAGTTTCAGAACGTACGTGCAAGCAGAAATACTAAAAAAGGGAAAAAGGGTGAGAAAAAAGGTGAAAACAAAAATAGAAAAAAATCTGAAAACTTGAGAAAACAGCAAACAACTGGTATAAGTTCAAAAGTGGAAATATGTTTTGGTTTACTCTACTGAGGAGAATGAAACTGTGAAATCTTGATAAACTCGATTACGCCAACTCACTGGTGTCCGGAGCAACTAGGGTTAATACCAGTTTTCCCTACAACGACTGCTTTATTAAAGCTAAAGTGTCATTAAATTTAACACTCATTTACATTTACTATTTGACAGCTAAAATTATTTTATCTATTGGAATGATAGTTCAAGATGTGCACGTTTTTGAAATAAAATTCAGAGTCTACTGCATCATCAGCTGAATTACTTCCCCATGAATATTAAAATCAAATAAATGTCTTGGCAGTGCCAGGTTTCGTCAAGATAACGTTTGTTGGAAGAAATAAATACCACAGCAAGTATGAGTAACACGACAGCTTGAACATTAAAATAAAACATTTATTATTTAGTTAAAGTTTCAAGCTTCCTAATTTTTAATACATAATTAGGTAATTTTATTAACTTCCCATTAAGAAGTTATTGTAATTGGGTCAATATAAAAATCAAATTTATAATAGCAAACATCAATCTAATTATTTATCTTTATTACCATTTTTTAATAATTCAAAAACAAATAACAGCATAAACTTGTCAGCTTTATCTTTATTTTATTTAGGAATATTTTAATTATATATTGCTTTACACAAATCACCAATGAAAACTTTTCCATGATGGAATTTTTATTAAATTGAATTAATTTAAAAATTAATTTAGACAAAGAATTCATACATAGCACGAATAAAAGCGTCAATCCCTATCATAATTTCTATGAGTTCATACGTGGATCATTTAAATCTTACAACAAAATCCCTGGATGTACTGTGGAATAAAGTAAAATTCATATGTTTTAGGAAGCCGTATATTATCATCTCAAAAGTATTATGTTATATGAAAATTTTAATATTTAACGAACATTTATCATATCTGATGAAAAATATAAATTAAGAGTTATAACAAGCATAAAATTTTTAAAATCTCCCTTGATGAATAAAACTAAAAGAAATAAAATCAATCAGCTTTTATGCATATGTTGAATTTATTTTAATTATTATTAAATTAATAATATTAATGATTAACGAATGAAATTGTGGTCATTTCTGTATCAAATTAATTGATCATGTTATAATAAAGGACCGATTCAGTTTGATTAATTACAATTTTAATAATATAATTGTTTCTTTTTTAAAAATACATCAAAGTGCACAGTGTGTATAATGAATGAAATTATTCACAATCGTATTGATTGATTTGATAGAAATGGAAAGAAAGCTAATTGTTATTATCTCATCTATTTATTTATTTATTTCCTACATGATTATTTCTATTTATCTGTTCCGTGTAACACTATTGAAAAATTCCAATTGTAAAACTATCAACGGATGCATATAGAAGATATCATTATCATCAATAGCTGTTTGAAGTACATATTAATTAACCGAGGAAATGAATGAGTATAAATAAATCATTTTGAACAAAATTTTCAACTATTGCGGCAAGATGAAATATCAAATATCAATGTAAGGAATTAATTTTTGTTATTAAATAAGTAAAAAAACAATACCTAAAAGTCTTTATTTGTTTCAGAGTTTTGTTATTATTAGCAGATTCAGTATTCACTAAACATATTAAACCATGGAACGAAAATCATAAACCCAAGTGGATAACTGATAATGAAGTGGTGGACAATGATGATGAAGAGATCAATGTTTGTCAAACAGACGAGTGTAAAATTTTAGGTATGTTACAAACCATCATATCGATACATTAATTAGCAAATTTGTTGATTGATTAGCTTGATGAAAGCCACTGAATAAAAATCACATTTTAGGGAGAGAATTTTTGAAGGGTATGAATAAAAGTGTCAACCCATGTGATAATTTTTATGAATTTATGTGTGGAGAATATAAAAATAACTATAAAATACCTGGATACATGTCATTCTGGAATAGACCACTTATGTTTCAGCACACTGTATATCGTCGAATTAAAGGTGAATAAAAAGACATATACAATTAAGATAATTATCTACATAGATACTTATAATATTGATTATTGAACAGCAATATTGGAAGTGGAACCCGAAAAGAGTGATATTTTACCAGTGAGACTAGCAAAAAAATGGTATCAATCTTGTATGGATACAGGTAAAAAAGAATCTAGTTTCATTTATGAATAATTTAAGAAAGAATTCCAACAGGAAGAATGATAAAAATTTCTCTGTAGATACCCTTGAAAAAAGAGGTATTAAACCTCTAGAGTCAATATTAATGCAACTTGGAGGATGGCCGATGACAATAGACGTTGAGGAATGGGATGAAAATGGACATTCATGGCAGAGAATCGAACAACATTATTTCCATCTTACTGGTTCACATATATTTTTCGATATTAAACCAGTGATGGTAGATGATAAATTAATCATGGTAAGTATCATCAAGAAATTCCAAAAAAATGTAAAGCAATTATTTTTTTTTAATGATGATAATTTGATGATAGATTCGAGCCAGAAATCTACCTTTATTCGACAAACTTCCATCAGAATACAGAAAATACTCTTCAAATAAATATGATGAATACGTGAAACTCATCAAAAAAATTGTTCAAATATTTATTGAACATAATAAAGCTGATGTTTTTAAAAGTGCATTATCACTGGACGTGGAAAATTTAGTTGCCTTTGAGAAACAATTGGAAAAGATCTTTCGAGATGATCATAGTCCTGATGAGTGGCAATCTATTGAAGAATTTATTGTAGAATATGAAAATGCAGTCAATGCTACCATGGAAGAATCAACTATCAAAGTAAGTTTAATTTTATTTTTATCAATCATCACAAGTTAATTGTATCATTTTGATTATGTAAATAATTTCTGTTTTTACAGATAAATTTTAGGAAGCTAATTAAAAATGAATTCGATTTAATAAATTCAGAGGTGAATAATTTAGTATCTGTGATGACTCATAAAATAAAATATTTAATTAAACTCACTGATTTACTAAATAAAACACCCAAACGTACAATAGGTAAATTAAATAATTATCAACACATTTTCAAATACATTTTTAATTCATATTCAAAGCTAAGAATAATTTATTGTGCTGTAGTTAATTATTTACATTGGTACTTTGTGAGTGATATGCTGGCTTACACAACTAAAGAAGTGAGAGATGTTTTCTTTGAGTTCATGGAGAATGAGTTGGGTCTCACAGAAACACAACCACGGTAAACAGTCATAATTATATTCATAAATTAAAAGTATTGATTATATTTTAAATTTTTATTAAATATAACGTATGTTAAAGTTGGCTTGAATGTGCAAATGAAATGAAAATGTCAGGAGCAGCAGGTTATGCTTTTGTAAAAAAATATTTTTCACCAGATGCTGAACGTACTGTAAGTATTGTTTGATGTTATTACTCCGTCTATTTTGAATGATAAAAAAATTATTCAAGGCTCGACGAATGGTTGAAAATATTCGAGCAGAGATGAAGTCACAAATTTCAGCAGCCACTTGGTTGGATGAAGAAACAAAAGATTTGGTTATTGATAAATTGCAATCAATGGAGGTATTGCTAGGATTTCCAGAGTGGTACAAGAATAAAACTCGTGTGATCAATTACTACAAAGGGGTAATACATAACAAATAATGACTACAATAATTATTTTTATTTACAATCATTATGGAAGCTTGATATCAACTTTTTAGCTCATTATTGGATATGATTATTTCGACAATGTTTTGAGTTACAAAAAATACTCTGTTAAACAAAGCTGGCATAATGCAATGATTGATGGCAAAGACAGAGAGTATGTTTAATTACCATATAAATGAGAAAAATTTGATTAAATATTGACTGAATAAAATGATTTTTGTAGATACAGTTTCGACCCGCTTGTTACCAATGCACTCTACAGATTTTCCAGAAATAATATAGGTATGAAACAATGCATGACATCATCATCAATTTTATTCATAAAAAAATAATATTCTATTCGTTCTCACAGAACTTCCAGCAGCTGATTTTCAACCTCCTCTATTTACATCCGAACTCCCAAGGTAAATTGAAAATAAATACAAATAATAACATTCTCTTTTATGTAAATATTTTTTGCAGCGTTGTCAACTATGGATCAATAGGAAGCATAATTGGCCATGAAATTGGACATGGTTTTGATGTTAAAGGTAAATTACAATATTTTTTATAATTAGTTTTATTGATGATTAAAATTAATTTATAATTTACGACAGGAATTACATACGGAAAAGATGGAAAACGTGCCAAAATAACAAAAACAATACTGAAATTATATTACGAACACGCTTATTGTTTTATTGAACAATTTCAAAACTATTACGAAGCTGCTAAAGCTGATGCTGAAGAGACCATTCGGAAAGATTTTGTAAAATTTATATAACTTTATTATTATTATCATTATTCACTGCAAATTTCAAATTTGAAGGTGTTTTATTTAAATGCACTTGAACCTGCTTAAAAAGTGACTACAATACAAATTAAATAGATGACGTCATATTAAAACACATTAAGTGCATTCAAACAAAACATTACGATTTGCAGTAATTTTATAAAAAATTCTGAAGTATTATTTTATTTGAAGAGTAGAATAAAAGCTGCTATGACATACGCAGAGAATGTGGCTGATACAACAGGGCTTCATGCAGTAGTTAAAGCTTATCAGAATCTAAGAGCCAAGAATCCAGATATTATTTCTAAATTACCAGGTTTAGAGGAATATACTGATGATCAACTATTTTTTATTTCATTCGGAGCAGTGAGTTATTAATTGTTAATCAAAATAAACTAATATTAATACAATTGAATAAAATTCATGACTTATTGTATCTAATTTTTAGCTTTGGTGTCAAATTGAAACACCCCAGATGAAAGAACTTTCAGAAAAAAATGATTCTCACAGCCCAATGCAATTACGATCAATTGGTGCACTAGCAAATAGTGAAGATTTTGCGAGAGCTTTTAATTGCCCTCGAGGTAGTCCTATGAATCCGGAAAATAAATGTAACATTTGGAATCCTGAAAATTCTACCAATTTGAACGAAAAGATTCATCATCAATGGCTAGGATATTGATAGAGTTAAAAAATATACAAGCAACACTCGTGTCAAAAAAGTAATTCAACTATGGTTCGAATATCAAGAGCTTACAAACTCAAAATTGATGAAGTTACGTTTATTATATCACACAACACTTGATGTAATATTACTTCTCTACAAAAATAAAAAATATCGAAAATTCTGTTTTATTATATTTATGGTCAGAATAAAATTTATTCAATTCAATGAAGTTTTATGAGTTTTTTTTTAACTACCTTTTAGGCTTCCCAGTTTCCTTAAACCCTGCTATTACGTATTTATATATATTAACTGTAATATTGATCTTTTCATTAATTATTTAGAATTGATAAATTTAATGTATTGAACAATTAAAATTAATAGAAAGATGAAATAGAATAATTAATAATTAAATAGCTTGAGGAGATTATAAGATGTGTTAAATAAGACATTGCTAGTCATGAATCTGGAATGAATTCAATTCTATAAATAACACAAATCAGAGTTTATCAATTTTCTCATCATACTCTATGGAAGAATTGATTTTTTGCTTATCAAAATTCATTATTGAACAAATGAAAAGATTATTCAGATTATCAACGGATGCATATTGAATATTACATTTATCATAGGAAGTTCTCCAAGGTGCATCCTTTTTTAGTTAAGTTTATAAAGAGGTATAAATAAATAAGTAGAATTGCTAGAAATAATTTTGAAACGTGCAGTAGAATATTTAGTGGCATAAAATGAAGTATTCAGCAATAATGTAAGAATTTTTTTTTTAGAATTGTATTAAAGTGAAGTGAAAAATTTGTTCTTTCATCACTAAATTATTGGTTTAATTTTTTTTCAGAGTTTTATTGTTTGTTACCAATGTAGTATTTTCAAAACATTTTAAACATCATAAACACGTTGATTGGGATGATGACATTCGTGATAAAAATGATTTTCGTTGGCTACTTGATGATGATAATGACGTTGTTACTCCAGAGAATAAAACACAAAGAGTTTGTAAAACCAATGAATGTGAAATTTTAGGTACGTATTATATTATGATATTGAAAAAAAATTTCGTTCCTCAAATTGTAGATTGTTCGGGAAATTTTATTTATTGTTTTTTATGTAACATTATATTACTAAAATGTTTTTAATTATCCACAAAACAAATCTGTTTATTAATTAAAAATTAATAAATAAATTTACATAGCCATAAATCATAATTTATTATATAATTTTCAATCAATTAAAACAAAGCTTAGTGTAATTAATAATAATTACTTTTTGTTTAAAAAAAATTATTTTGGGAAATTTTGAAACATTTTAGTAATATAAAGTTTCATGAAAAACAATAAACAAAGTTCACTGCACTGAGAGAAATAAAATAGTTGGATTTACTATGAAATGTTGACTTAATATTAAAAATTTTATGTTGAGTCTTTTGATAATAAGAAATGTTTATGTCTTCAGCGAAAGAATTTTTGAAGGGAATTGACGAAAATGTTGATCCTTGTAACAATTTCTATGATTTCATTTGTGGATCCTGGCAAACAAATTATAAAATTCCTGGATATACTATGATGTGGAGTAGGCCACTGATGTTTCAGCACACTGTATATCGTCGAATCAAAGGTGAATAAAAAGACATATAATCAGAGTGAGAATGAATATATTTGAGATAATTAATGTAAGTGATGTTTATTTGATAGGAATATTGGAAGTAGAACCCAAAAAGAGTGATATTTTACCGGTGAGACAAGCGAAAAAATGGTATCGAGCTTGTATGGATACAGGTAAAAAAGAATCTAGTTTCATTTATGAATAATTTAAGAAAGAATTCCAACAGGAAGAATGATAAAAATTTCTCTGTAGATACCCTTGAAAAAAGAGGTATTAAACCTCTAGAGTCAATATTAATGCAACTTGGAGGATGGCCGATGACAATAGACGTTGAGGAATGGGATGAAAATGGACATTCATGGCAGAGAATCGAACAACATTATTTCCATCTTACTGGTTCACATATATTTTTCGATATTAAACCATCATGGGCGGGTTCTCAAGTAAGGGTATGTAATTAGGTTTGATATTAATTAAAAATTAGTTTAACCAAAAAAATTTGAATATTTTAAATTATTTTCAATGTAGATTGAAACAATGGACCTTCCTTTGATGAACAAACTTCCACTGAAGTACAGAAATTACACAGCAAATGAATACGATGAATATAAGAAACTTGTTAAAAATATTGTCCAGATGTTCATTGACCATAATAGGGCTAATGTGTCAGAAACTATGCTAGAGAAAGACCTTAAGGACTTGATCGAGTTTGAAAAAGGATTATATATGGTATTTTTTATAGATAATAAATTTGGGTAATTATTTATATTCCTTGAATAAAATATTTACATTAAATAAATTCTTTGCAAGCTCGATACATCTGATGATGTGGAGAAGCACATTGATAATGAAAATGATGATGATAATGATGATGATAGTGATGATAATGATGATGATAATGATGATAATGATGATGAAGATGTTGGAGATGATGATGTTAAAGATGTTGACGATGTTAGCAATGATGACAAAAGTGATGATAGTTATGATACTATTGAAGAATTTGTTGAAAGATATGATGATAAAGTTAATGCTCAATTGGGTCGAAATTTAGCTAAGGTCAGTATAGCATTAGCAACTATCTAAAACTAATATCAACTCAACAACTTGTTTCTTTCCAACAAGTAATTATTCGATATTCCAGATCAATTTCAGAAGATTAATACAAAGTAAATTTGATATGATTAATATGCCTGTTAATACATCTTGGTACATAATGGGTCGACCTTTGAGCTTCTATGCCAAGGTTACTGACTTGATCAATAAAACTTCTAAACGCACCATCGGTAAGTTGTCAAAGTTTCTTTATAAATATGTACTCAATTATCATGCCAGTAAATAATAAAAATATTGGTTACAGTGAATTACTTACATTGGCACTTTGTAAGTGACATGCTTGTTTACACAACAGAGAAAATGAGAAATGAGTTCCATAAATATAAAAAACATGAATATGGTGTTATGGAGAGAGAACCAAGGTAGGTCTAATTTATCGTAGCATCTTGATGCTTTAAAAGTAAATAATAAATTGATGAATGATTAGATGTTATTATGTAATGATGATTTTTAATTATTCAGATGGCTTGAATGTACAAAAGAGGTAAAATTGGAATTAGCTCAAGCTTATGCCTTTGTCAAGAAATATTTTTCAGAAGAAGTTGAAAGAACTGTAAGTGAATATCTTACTATTATTTCTCTTTTTTTTTTTATTTAATTTAAAACCTTCCTTAGGCTCGTAAAATGATTGATAATATTCGAGATGAAATGAAAGAACAAATATCAACTTCAGTTTGGATGAATGAAGAAACAAAAGCTGTAACAATAGACAAATTAGAGTCGATGAAAGTCTTACTTGGATATTCAGAGTCATTTAAAAATAAAACGATCGTTAAAAATTACTATAAAGGGGTAAAAAACTTGCTATTATAAATACATCAGGTTTTTTACAAAAAATCAGTTTAAATTAATCAAGTATTGATTTTTTTACAGCTCATCATTGGTTACGATCACTTTGACAATGTTTTAAGTTTCCGGAAGTACGAAACGAAAAAACATTGGGAACAAGTATTGAAAGATACTGAAGAACCGAAAGACATAGGGTATAATTTTTTTAAAACTGATTTCAATTGAATAATTCATTAAATTTGATTTTTAAATAAAATCGTTTTTATTTTAGATACAGTGTAGATTCTCTTGTTGTTAACGCATTTTATTCACCTGACTTCAATTTTATAGGTAAATATACAATTTATAAATGATACATGAGATGGTGCAATACAATTCTTTTAAAAATATTATTTATTTTTTAAGAACTTCCAGCTGCGGATTTCCAACCACCACTATTTACTTCACAGCTACCTAGGTATGAACCTATATGTTCAATAAATTACATTTTAACGTTTGATTATCAAATAATCTCTAAATAATCTTATAGTGTCGTCAATTATGGATTAATAGGATCTGTCATTGGTCACGAAATCGGACATGCTTTCGACATAAATGGAATTCACTATGGAAAAGATGGAAATTTAACAAAAATATCAAAGCAAGTTATGGAGATTTATTATAAAAGAGCTGAATGTTTCCTTGAGCAATTCAATGAATATTTTGGTGTCACTGAACCTGAATATGAAGACACAACACCTTATGCATTTGTGAGAATCATTATAATTCTTTTTATAAATAAATCATTCTTTATTCTTCAATTTAAAATTATCATTATTATAGGAAGGAAGCAGAGGAAGACGAACAAGAGGAGAAAATATGGCTGATACAACTGGTCTTCATTCAGTTGTGAAAGCTTATCAAAAAATGAGAGCCAAAAATCCAGATGTTGTTGTTAAATTACCAGGTTTGGAGAAATACACGGATGATCAGATGTTCTTCATTTCATTTGGAGCAGTAAGTCATAAATAAATTATTAATAAAATTAGTGTTTTACATTAACTATTTTTTTATAGTTATGGTGTCAAAAAACAACACCAGAGTTTCAAAAAATGTCTGAAATGTATGACGTTCATAGTCCAGCTCCAATAAGAGTTATTGGTGCAGTCTCTAATACCAATGATTTTTCAAAAGCTTTCAAGTGTCCTAAAGGTAGTCCAATGAATCCTGAAAATAAATGCGATATTTGGAAACCTAAAAGTAATGATGGATCAGAAAAGGTTAAAAAGAATTATCGTTATCCATGGGTTTTGAAGTGGTAATTTCCCACATTTAGATCATCATTCTACGACAGCAATGAATAAATTTATTCTGTAATACAGTTGGAGTATATTTCTGTTCAGTTTAATGAAATAAATCATATATAAATGTCTAATATATTTGAATAAAGTAAAAAAAATATATTATGAAGCTAGTTTTATATATTTTTCCACATACTTGTTCATATTTACTGTTTCTGGTATCAGTTAATTTATATTTAACCATTCAACATGATGGATATTTTAAAGGAAATCAATAAATCATATTGGTTATATAAAAGGACTGAGGAAATTGCAGCAAATAAATTAAAAGCTTCAATATTATTTATGAGATTTTCTGATCAGTACAAAATAAAAAAATGCCTTCAATAAATTCATTGAATGGAGTATTGTATTTTTTTTTTAAATTTAATAATTAATTAAATACTGGAAAATTTATGGATCATATCAAGGATTATCAGAATTTCAATTGTTCATTGAATATAATCATAGGTTATAAATTGTCTGTTTAAGGAAAATTCATGGATTTTTTTTTTTGATAAAATAAAGAGGATAGAATAATTGAAAAGTTTTTATATATCTATGATATATTATTCAGTTCAGGCGTAGATAAATAGGTCCTGGTCCAAATGTCGATACATATTATTTTTCCAATAATTTAGATTTGCTATGATAGGAAATGTAGTAGAGAATTTCAAATCAATAAAAAAATGATGATACCCAAGTAAACGTAGTTATATATAACCAAATTTTCCAATACTTTCTAATTTCTACATTTGAATATTAAACAAACGATGAGCTGTAACTAAAAATTTGAAAAAAATATAGAACAGTAGGAAATAATTATTAAAATATTTCATACTTGTATTGATATTAACATTATTAAATCGTAAATAAATTATTTATATAAATACAATTCGTTGTGAAATCGATAGAATAAGAACAAAAACGGTCTACACAAAAAATATTCACAAAGCTTTTTGTTTGAATGACATATTTAAAGTATGAATTTTTATAAAGAATAAATATAATGAGAATTTTTTTATACAATTGTTTCACAAGATAATTAAAAAAGTTTTTATTTATAAAGGATAAATAAAATAAATATATTCCAATTATAAAAAATCTAAAAAAATTTCATCAATTGTAATAATTTTTTTTAAAATTTTTCATATGCACATGAATAAATAGAAATAAAGAAAAAAATACTTTTATTTGATTGAATTTTTTTTCAATAGCTATTTACTGAAGTATTATTGCATAAAATCGAAGTTCTTTAAACACTTGCTATAAACTCAATAAAATCAATTCTAATGGCACTAGAAGAATAGCCATTCACAATGGATATTGAAGAGTAGAATGAAAGTGGACACTCATGATGGAAAATTGCATATTAGATCTATCTTACTTGGTCTTACGTATTTGTCAGACATATTATTTTATATTTTCACCACAATTGCATGGCAGTAATAAAATAAATGATTTTATTCTCTGACAATTATTTAATAAACAATGATAGATTACATGAGAATTAAAGTCATATTGAATAATGATTAATTCAATTTGAAGGATATAATCAACAATTCATCATTAAAATAAAAATAAAAATAAAATGAAAACTTTTGTTAGTTTTCTCTCTAACTAAACATGAAGTTATGACGTATAAAAAATATTACCAGTCAAATATTTCAATAAAATACTTGAAAGTTTCTATTCTATAAATATAATTATATTGATAATATTACATGAGTTATATCATTACCTTGCAATTGAATATAAAAATTATTGATATCATTTAATGAGGATGCAAGTTGCAAAATAACGCTTATCATCGGAAATTCATCAAGGCTCATCCGCTTTTAAAATGCTTCAAATAGACAGTGGAAAATAATTAGCTACATTTCGTTGGATGTTAATCAAAAGAGTGGATGTGTAAATATAAAATAAATAGAAATGATTTTGAAACTTTTGATGTACGTATAAATAGTCAATATTCTAAGCGAATAAACTATTATTACACTAATGTCACTCATTCATGAAATTTTATTATCCCAGTTTGTTGAGTGTCGTCAACCATCAAGTTTTCTCCAAATATGTCAAGAAGTGGGAAGATGATGATTCTATTAAAAGACTTGGTTGGCTATTCGACATGGATGAAGGACCGGATGTTGAAGATCTCGTAAAAGGAGATGAATCTCGTGTCTGTACTTCAAAAGAATGTCGAATTGTTGGTAAGTAATATGTTTTTTAAATATAATAAAAAGATTAATGATGATGTAATGATGAAATGATTTTACTAGCTAATGAATTCAAGAAAAGTATGAATAAGTCTGTGGATCCATGTAACAATTTTTATGATCATGTTTGTGGATCATTGACACTTGATATAATTCCACCATATCAACCCAATTGGAATCGACTTGAATCATTTCAAGAAGTTATTTTCCGTCGACTCAAAGGTATTATGATAGACTCAAGTAATATTTGCCTGATAATTTTAGATTTTGCTGACTTGAGAAATGTTTTACAGAAATCCTCGAAGAGAAACCTCTGACAAATGAAATTTTACCTGTAAGACAGGCTAAGAAATGGTACCAAGCATGTTTGGATATAGGTTGATATATTATTCCAAGTTCTATTTAAGGTAGTTTGGCATTGACAGGCTGACAGTTGACAACCCTTTTATTTTAATTGATCTGCAAGATCATATTTCTATAAGTTAAGAGAAAAAAAAAGATTCTTCTACAACATTGTTTAGGAAAAATAATTACTTAAAGTCATGTCTCATCAAAACAATTTAAAATAATCGTTACTGTTTTGACTACCAATATGTGGATGCCAAACTACCTTGATATTGGAATAAAAAAATAAGACTTGTTTTAAAATGTACTTGTTGTTAATAGATACACTTAATAAACGAAGTCTAACACCAATAGAATCAGTTTTGATGCAAGTAGGAGGATGGCCCATAGCTATAGATCCTCAAGAGTGGGATGAAAATCAAAATTCATGGCAAGACATAGAACAGCATTACCTGGAAATCATAGGATCTTATGTATTTTTTACATTTTCTCCTGCAGCAAAAAAATTTCAACTAGAAGTAATATAAAAATTCAGATTTTCTTTTTCTACGTTTTGATCATCACTTATTTATTTATTTATTTTTTTTATAAAAGATGCAACCAGGAGATCTGCCATTACAAAATAAACTTCCATCAGAATACAGAGATTATGATATTGATAATTATGAAGCATATGCTACCCTCGTAAAAGGTGTGGCATTATTATTTGCAGATTATACTAAAGCTGATGTTACCGAGGAAATGATTGAGCAAGATGTACAAGATTTGGTTGAGTTTGAAAAGAAGTTATATATGGTAAAATAATAAACGCTCTCTACCATGATTAAAAAACTATATATTAATAAATACAAATCAATTTTTAGATCAGTAATTTAGAAGGCAGTATTGCAATGCCATTTCATAAATTTGTCAAAGAGTATCGTAAAAATGTGACACTAGCAGCAATGTCAAGTGAAGAAAGCAGTCAAGAAGATAAAGATTCAGACATTCAAATGGTAAACATCAATTAAATTAATTATTATATTAATAATTAATCATATTTATTAAATCTATTAATTTTCAGATTAACTTCCATGAACTACTTTCTACTTTATTTGATTCAGTTGATTACATTCTTAATAATTCTATGGTTTTGCATGTTCAAAATCCCGAGTATTATATTAAATTAACTGAGCTTTTAAATGAAACTCCAAAAAGAACAGTGATCAATTATATGCATTGGCACTTCATCAGCAAAGTACTTCAATATACCACAGAAGACATGAGAGATGCAATTTTCATGTTGATGGACAATGTTTTGGGAGTTAAAGAACGTTCTCCAAGGTGAACTTAGGTTTATTTTTTTTATTTATTAATGAGAAATTGATTAAATATTCACGGTGCTTTTATAGATGGCTTGAATGTATAACAGAGATGAAGCTGATGCCTGCTGCTGGCTATGCATTCGCTCAAAAATATTTCTCAGACGACATTGACAATGCTGTAAGTAATATTTATTCTCATTTTTAAATGGACTTTAATTTTTTATCTTATTGGATAGGGACACACAATGGTTAAAAATATTCGTAAACAAATGCAAAAAGAAATTCAAGCCTCTACTTGGATGGATGATGAAACCAAAAAATTAGTAATTGAGAAACTTGAAAAACTCAAAATGGAACTTGGGTTCCCAAGTTGGTTTAATAATCAAACAATCATCATTAACTCTTATAAAGGGGTAAGGATTGATGACGATTAAGATTGATTTAAATTTTCATTAAATAACATGACTTGATTCTTTGTTCCAGTTGATCATTGGATCTGATCACTTTGATAACATGCTGAGCTATGAAAAATATGAATTAAAATTATGGCTGCGTATGAGATTTGGTCTAGATGATTTTGATTATGTTGGTGTAGCTACGTAAGTATTTCTTTTTTTAAATTTAATAATATAAAACAGTAAATTTACAAATCAATTTCTACAGGAATTTTATGGATCCAACAGAAGTAAACGCAGCATATGATCCTGAATCCAATGCCATTTGTAAGTGACGATAATTATTGAAACTTTTTTTATTTATTCATTAAAAGAATATCTGATAGAGTTAATAAAAATATTATTCCCTCAGATTTACCAGCGGCTGATTTCCAACCTCCATTGTTTACATCGAAACTTCCATGGTAAATATTAATATTATTATTTGACTAATAAATGCATTAAACTGATTTATTTACATCTATTTGTGTGTTTATCCATTAGGTCTGTAAATTATGGAGTAGCAGGTGTTGTTATAGGTCACGAAATAGGGCATGCCTTTGATGATGATGGTAAGAAAAAAAATGTGTCTATCAATAAATTTCAATTAGCAAACCATCAACACATCATATCAATTAATTAAATAAAATAATCTTTATCTATAAAATTATTTCTATTTGTTATCGAAGGAATTACATATGGCGAGAATGGAGAGTCTACACATATATCGAAAACAATGTTAGACATGTATTACAAACGTGCTGAATGTTTCTTAGACCAATTCAACGAATATTATGGAGTTACAGAAGCCAATTGTAATGGATCGAAATCAGAAGGAATGGTATAAATATTTTTTAATACATTTTAGATTCATTCTTCAATTGTTTGGTATTTACTTCTAGGAACAAAGTAAAGGTCGACGAACAAGAGGTGAAAATATCGCTGACACAACAGGTCTAGATTCAGTGTACGATGCTTATATAAGAATGATTAAAACAGAGATGGGTGGAAGTGATTACAAATTGCCAGGGTTTGAAGAATATTCTGATAGTCAAATGTTTTTCATTTCCTTTGGAACAGTACGTATACCATAAAATAATTTTCATGATTTCCATTGGAATAGTATTTCTATAAATCAACAACTGGATGATTCTATTGATAGGTATGGTGTGAACGAATGACAAAAAAATATCAAGATTTAATGTACGAGTATGATGAACATAGTCCAGGACGTTGGAGAGTAATAGGTGGAGTATCAAATGTGAAAGCTTTTGCAGAGGCATTCAACTGTCCCTTAGGAAGTCCAATGAATCCTGAGAATAAATGTAATATTTGGAAATCACAAGAATCTAAAGCTGCGAAGAAACAAAAAATGAAAGCTTCTCGCAAAAATAGGAGACATCGAAGACGTCATCATCCATTTAAAAACTGGCTCTATTATTAATCGAAGTTGATTAAAAAAAAAAACTGCATTCAATATCGATAATTTATGAAGCTGTACTTTGATTTTATCTTCAATATATAATTTTACAAGTCAAATTAAAAATTGAACTAATTACTATTCTTGTACCAATTGATTTCATTTATTATAAAACCCAAGTAGTTGGAAATGAAAGAAAATATTCATTAGATCTTGTGTCAAAGTTTCTAAATATTCTCTTAAATAAAATAGTTACATTGCACGAATAAATTATCACAATTGAATTAACTTTATTAATTGAAAAAGTAATAAAGAAAGAGAAATATTTTTCTGTTTTATGGTTCTCTATTATTATCAATCTTTTGTGCATTTATTTATGTTCAATTAAATATGAAATATGTGACACAAACATAAATGATTGATGCTATCACACATGCATTTATCAAGAGATATATTTCTTGAAAGAGATGGGGAATAAGAAGAGTGAATTTGACTTTTTGGAAATAGATCATTTATTATAATTATATATTGTTGAAAAGAAAAATTTATAAATGTAAATAAAAATATTGAAAAAAGTATAAATGATATTTAAAAGGTTTTTAAGTCAAATTTATATGAATTTATTTAAGTTATGAAACAAGAAAAAAAATTGTAATTTAAGATACTAATAATAGATTTAAATTCTTTCGAAACTTTTTGCGAATTTATTGATGCCACGAGTAAGGAAAAAAACTTGGAAGCAACAATAAAGGATTAAAGGTAATAAATCAGTCTCGATAGATAAAAATATCGTTGTCCCTGAGGAAGAGTTGTGTTTTGGCTCCCCTTCTTCCTGGCTCTTTCGTTAACTCATTGATGTGATGTATTCGGGCATTTAAATGATGCTTGAAGAGAGGGATATGAATTCGGTGGGGATCGAGAAGTCTTTCTGTGGGGCAACACAGCTATTGTTGTGTTACTGACGTTTGATGGATGGAGATTTTTTCATGATTACAATGCAAATCCACAACACAAAATATTCTGAAAAAATTCTATCTTGGAATTAATATGAACCAAAGGTATCTAAAGATTGCTAAGGAATGGTGAAAAATATTTAAGGAATCCGTGTCTTTAGAAAAGTATTCTATATGCCCAGAAGAAATTCAAGTGCATTTTTATGGGAGATAATAAAATAATAATAAATAAATAATTGATGATAAAATAATTATTAAAAATAAATTATAATAAATAGAATAATATATCAGAAATTATATGATTGCAAAATAATTATGGTCGAGAAAAAATAATCACATATACCTCAAGTTTAATGATTCAAACTAGATATATTTTCTATTACGGATGCATGTACCATGACGATAAGCGTAAGCCGATAGTATTCATGGACAGCATGCAATATAAATAGATCATTAGTTGTCATTACTCAGAGTTCGCATAATATCGTGTCCAATTAATTGGTCTCCGATGGAAAACAAAATTTTCATTAAAATAATGTATGATTTGTAAATTCGTCTACTGGAATAATTTATTGGATATAGTTGTTAATAATTGGAATAATGTTATGATTTCAGATTGGTTGCAGTTATATTATCTAATACTTTAGCTCCAACATATTCAAGAAAAATAACATGGGAAAATGATGCTGATTATTTCGACATTTATAGTTGGCTTGTGGATATAGATGGGAATGGAGTTGAAAAAAATGTTGATAATCAACAAGTTTGTACAACACCAGAATGCCAAAAAATAGGTAAAAATCAATTCAATATATTAAAATATTGTTTTTCGAAAATATTGATGTTAATTCTTGAATAAAAAATTATTGCAGCACAAGAGTTTCTTCATAGTATGAATAAATCAGTTGATCCGTGTGATGATTTTTATGATTTTACCTGTGGTAATTGGAATCAATCCAGTAAAATTCCAGGATATCTTCCAGCATGGTCAAAAATTCACATGTTTCAAAATGTGGTTCATCTGAGAGTGAAAGGTTTGTTAATGTAAAAAAATTGGTCACAACAACTTCCTAATAATGATAATATTTATAGGTATATTAGAGGAAAAGATTGAGTCAGGAGACATTTTGCCAGTCAGACAAGCCAAAAAATGGTATCACTCATGCATGGATGAAGGTGAGGATGTTTTTTAAAATAAATGATCCCGTGTAAAAAATTTTGTTTCTCAAACGTTCATCAATGGATTCGTCAGAATAAGATATTTTGATTGCACTAGTTAAAATTAGAATTGGAGCATGATTTAAGCAAAAATTGGAGTAAGTTCCCGTTTTACCCCATTTTAGGGGTGAGAAAATTAATTTTTTAAATGTTTGACCTGATTCCGCATTTCTACGCATCAAGACGGAGAGAATGAGTGGTCGAACTTGAAAATCGGACAACTTTGATTTTTCGACCCAAAAAAATGGCAAGTGGTACCCCTTTCCATTTTTTTTGGCCAAAAAATAAAGGTACTCCGATTTTGATGATTGAGGACTCATTCTCTTCGTCTTGATGTGTAGAAATGCGGAATCGGGGCACCGGTCAAGAAAATTCACTTTTACACCCTTAAAAACGAGTTACACTAAATACAAATTATGGATTATCATCCCCTTGACTTTAAACCCTTATAACTCATGAACGGATGGTTCAATAACTGATTTTAGGGACGTTTCGAAAAGCTAAAAATCTAAGCTAAACATACATATCTATAAAAAATATTTAAAAAATTTCTTTCACCCTTAAAATCACTAAAATATAAGAAAAAATCACATTATTTCAGGAAGTTGCCAACTATTTCGGCCATTTTGAGGGTGAAAGAAATTTTTTAATTGCTTTTTATGGATATGTGTTTTTAGCTTAGATTTTGAAGTTTCTAAAGAGCCCTTAAAAATCATTTTTCGATGAACTGTTCGAGAGTTAAAGAGGTCCAAAGTCGCGTAAGGGCCAAAAAATAATCTACTCTTAGACTTTGGACCCCTATAACTCTTATCCAATGCATCGAATAATGATTTTTAAGGGCTCTTTAGAAACTTCAAAATCTAAGCTAAAAACACATATCCATAAAAAGCAATTAAAAAATTTCTTTCACCCTCAAAATGGCCGAAATAGTTGGCAACTTCCTGAAATAATGTGATTTTTTCTTATATTTTAGTGATTTTAAGGGTGAAAGAAATTTTTTAAATATTTTTTATAGATATGTATGTTTAGCTTAGATTTTTAGCTTTTCGAAACGTCCCTAAAATCAGTTATTGAACCATCCGTTCATGAGTTATAAGGGTTTAAAGTCAAGGGGATGATAATCCATAATTTGTATTTAGTGTAACTCGTTTTTAAGGGTGTAAAAGTGAATTTTCTTGACCGGTGCCCCGATTCCGCATTTCTACACATCAAGACGAAGAGAATGAGTCCTCAATCATCAAAATCGGAGTACCTTTATTTTTTGGCCAAAAAAAATGGAAAGGGGTACCACTTGCCATTTTTTTGGGTCGAAAAATCAAAGTTGTCCGATTTTCAAGTTCGACCACTCATTCTCTCCGTCTTGATGCGTAGAAATGCGGAATCAGGTCAAACATTTAAAAAATTAATTTTCTCACCCCTAAAATGGGGTAAAACGGGAACTTACTCCAATTTTTGCATAAATTTCGCAACAATTATAATTTTAACTAGTGCAATCAAAATATCTTATTCTCACGAATCTATTGATGAGCGGTCGAGAAACAAAATTTTTTATACGAGATAACTAAAACATTAAAATAAAAATTTCTGTTTAATAGATTTACTTGAAAAACGAGGATTACAACCAATAGAAACAATTTTGATGCGCTTTGGAGGATGGCCAATGACTATTGATGAAGAGATGTGGGATGAAGAAGAATTTTCATGGCAACAAGTTGAGGGATATTACTTTCATTTGACAAGATCATATATATTTTATCAATTCAAGCCAAGAGCATTTTCATACGATGACATTGGTGTGAGTTATTTTAATATATCATCAACTTTATTAATTTGTTCTTTTTTTCATCTAATCATTTTTTAAAACTTCTTTCGTAGTAATTACTGAATTCATTCATTAATTTAGATTCTACCTGGTGAACTTCCTTTAATTGGAAAGCTTCCGCTTAAATATAGAAATTACACTGGTGAAGATTATGATGCTTATCAGACTCTAGTTGAAAGCGTTGCAAGGATTTTTATTGCTGAAAATAAAGCTGATGTTTCTGAAGAGGTGTTTCAAAGGGATGTGAGAGAATTAGTTGAATTTGAAAAAAAGTTATTTACAGTAAGTTTAAGTATCTATTTATAAATCTCAAATGTTTTTTAATAATTTACTTTGATTAATCATAATTTTATTCAATACAATATTTATAGATTCAAAGTGATGAATATTTCGATTGGAAATTCGACACGTTTGGTGATTTTAAAAAATGGTATCATGACAATATAACAGCAATCATTGAAGAGAATGGTGAGAGTGAAAATAATATTGATTATGATAATAAGGACGACAGTTATGTCATAGACTTTGATAAATTGATGGGCAGGATGTTCGATATGATTAGTCTAACTTATGGTGATGATTTGAATGTTGGAGTCTCTGACAAAATGTATTTTCTAAAATTATTCGAAGTCATGAGAAAGACATCCAAAAGGACAATTGGTAAAATATTTATCATAAATGAATTAATATATATTTATTGCTTATTACAATTTTAATTTTCAGTTAATTACATTCACTGGCATTTTGTAAGTAGTATGCTTGAATATTCAACAAAAGATTTGAAAGATAAGCTCTTTGAATTAATGGAGAAAGAGTATGGTATTACTGAAAGACCTCCACGGTTAATATATTATGGATGTTAATACATTTTATTTATGAAAATTTTATTGTAGAATAATATTAATTTTTTCAGATGGCTAGAGTGTATTCAAGAAACGAAAATAATTGATGCTGTAGCTTTTGGATTTATGAAAAAATATTTCTCTAAAGAAACTGATAAAAAAGTAAATACTCTTGATTATTTTTATTTAAATTATTTATTATTATTTTCTATTAAAATTATAATTTCATTTAATTACATAAAAATAAACAGCTCATTATTGATTTATTAATAATGATTATTTAGATACAAACAATCGTAGAAAACATTCGTAAAAGTATGCGGAACATCATCGTTACCTCGAATGTAATAGATGAAAAGACACGAACAAATATGTTAGAGAAACTTGACATAATGGATTTTGATGTTGGATTTCCTGACTGGTACAAAAATACTTCTATCATTATTCAAGTGTATCGTGGTGTAAGTATTTTATTAACCTTATCATGAAAACTTATTGACATTTATTTATTTATTTTATAAAATAATAAAAATGATTTCATACAATAGTTGACCATTGGCTCTGATTACATGGAAAATGTTTTGGCCTATAGAAGATTCTTAGTGAAGAGAAGAATGCGACTACTCGTTGAACTTGAAGATATATGGTTAAGGTATTTTTTTGAATCACAATAATCTGACACTGAGAAAACAATTTATGCTATGCAGAAAAATGTTTATTTAATCAATAGAAAGAATTTGAAACATTCGCAATAAAAGATTTCAATAAATTTATTTATTTATTTTTATATTTGATTCAAGATTATGGTAAGTTTAAATAGTTACTTTTTAAACATTTTTAATTGTGATTAAATTTTTTTCTCAGTATAAAATTAATCAACAAACAATATTGTAAATAATGAAATTAAATCATCCAGTGATGAGATGATGATTACAGTAAATGCAGCATATGGAGGTGGCAGAGTGCGTAAGTTTTAATTTACTAAATTTTTTTATTTCAACTATAATGATAATTTGTTTAATTGTTAATGTGATTATTATTTAATATTTAAGAGGTACCACCTGTTGTTTTTCAACCACCTTTGCTCGCACCACAATTACCAGAGTAAGAAATAATTAATTCATCTAATTAGCAATAGAAATATTTTTTTATTTTTTTCTTTAATAAAGTAAATTCTTCTGAATATATAGATTTGTTAATTACGGAATAATAGGAACTGTGCTGGGTCACGAAATGGGACATGGATATGATACTCGTGGTATTGTATTATTCAAAATTTATCACATAAAATATTTTAATATTAGATTAGATGTAAATGTATGTGCACTTTGTGGATTGTTAGTAATGTAATATCACACATACAATCGCTGATGGGCTAATAAATAATAAGAAAACTAATTAATTTTATTAATAAAATATATTACATTCAATATTACTTATTGAAGATTGATTTTAGAATTTCGTTATGCTGAAACTGACGCTGATATGGAGAGAATAAGTAGAGATAATGGAATTTGGAAAAAATTATTTGATAAAGCTAAATGTTATGCTGATCATTATAACAAATTGTATAATGATTCTCAACGTAACTCTTCTGAGGTAAAATAATCAATTGAATTTTATGAAATGTTTATTGGCATCGATTAGCAAAAAATGAATGTTTCTTTTAAAGGAACCAAGTTCAGGATTTCGAACTCTGAGGGAAAATCTTGCTGACGCAACAGGAATCCAATCAGTATTTCATGCATATAAAAACTTGATGAGTAAAAATGGGAAGGGCTTAAAGCTTCCAGGCTTTGAGGATTTTACTGATGAGCAAATGTTCTTTATTTCATTTGCTAACGTGAGTAAATTAAAGAAGCCATTAAATGTTAATAATAACAACTAATCAAAAAATTTTTTTTCCATAGATTATGTGTGAAGCTTCAACTGAGAAATATGCAGAGCTATTGAAACGCCTAAATTCTCATAGTATTGGTCGTATTCGAGTAATAGGTGGAGTTTCAAATATGGAAGACTTTGCAAAAACTTTCAATTGTCCTAGAGGAAGTCCTATGAATCCTGAACATAAGTGTAACCTTTGGCAAGAAAAATCTGAACAAAATATCAAGAAACGTCTGACCAAAGTTCACAAACATTCCAAATTAATTTATAATTAAAACTCTGATGATGAAATGTAGCTCTAAAAACATCAAATAATTGATACAACTATTTTAAATATATTCCTATTTAAGATTTAATGTCATTTGAATATTGTTTTACAAATGTCTGAATATTTACAAGCCAATCAAATGACTATTTTGTATTACAATTAGTCTAGCTCGAGTTCTATAACAGTATAATATTGTCCCTTTGTGACGTGAAATGAATAATTTGAATTCAACTGAAATTCAATGACGAACAACTAAATTCTATTTTGAAATCATTTAAATCAGCGTAGTCCAATTCTTTGATGATGCAATGACATTTTATTTGGCAAGCAAATAGGGGATTCTTTGGCCTTATGAAAAATATTTATAAAAATAAGAAGCATGTACAAATGAAAATGATGTACTTGACTGACAGCATGACTGCATAATAGCTAGAGTAGATTCAATATTCGAAAGTAGATTGAAAATCAAAGGAAATCCTGTCATAAGAGGTAGTTTTTTGAAAAATTATATTTTCCAAAAGACATAGATGGAAAGGTGCAACCAAGTTTTGAACATTAGTATGCAACTAGCATGACAACCCAGACACATAACCAGAAATATTATTCTGAAATATGATACCGAATACCATTGGCCTCCAGTTGCACACACGTCGTGCCAACGAATTACAATCCTTCGTATTCTTTGTTTAGTTGACGTTGGTACGAAATGCTAAATTCTCTCTATTCCAGTTGAATTATTTTGCAAAAAAAAAAGTCATTTTATCTAGATTTTTTTTTTATTATCATCTATATATAAGGACCATGAAAGATCTTCAAGAGCGATTTAACACAATGATATTTGTGCGAAAAAATAGAGTTCATCTGAAACATGTTGTTTATAGTGACCAATAAAACGACATTGCCTCATAGATTCCAGGCCAAGGTTTCATTGTCGACATTCCTGAAGGATTTTATCTCGACGTCAAATTATATGAGGATCTAGATCCAACTGCTTCGAATAACACTAACGTTGACATAAACTCTCAGGAAAATGTGATGAAAAAAAAGTTTATGTATGGATATAAGATTTTGACGCACCTTATTTCTGACCGTCATATTATCAAGATATCATTTCTGCTCTGGGGGAATTTATTAAAAATTGTTGAATACTTTTAGGTTCTCGTTTTTAAGTATTTAAATTACTTAAGTATTATTTATTTAAAGTACATAGTTAGAAATAAAATCTCAAGTATTAAAACAGATTTTGAAAATAGCCAAAATGATCTAAAAGGGACGTTCTAAAAATGCAACAAACTGCAAAACCAGTGAATATTCATTGATTTTGCAGTTTATTTCATTATTTTCATTGTTTCGTTTGTAGAGAGGATAATTTTATCATGGATATAATAGAATCACTATATAAACAAAATTAAAATTCATAAAACATAAAAGATGAGTGAGCATAAAAATATTCATAGGAATCTAAGGAAATAACTTTAATAATAAAATACTGAGGTGATTTTCATGTAACTATAAGCTTTCAGGATAATGTGCTGAAAGTGCATTCAATTTGTATAACAAGATGCAAACTTGATTTGATGATAGCTCGTGAGCAGGTGCAATAGCCAAGATCTTTATTAATTCTTGAATGTATAGAATATGTAGTACATCAGTGGCACGACATTGCGTGTTTCTTTACTTACAACGTATGGCACAGTGAAAACTGAATGTTGCCAGTTGTAAATATATCTGCAGTCTGACTGTAGACAGTAAAGAACGAGGGCGTTTCTATGACCCTATGAGACATTACTCACAACTGTACCACTCGTTAGTTATATTCAACTCTAAATCCAACATTTTCCACAGTAATTAGCATAAACGTTTGTTTATCTTGCTTATATTTTAACATTAAATTGTTAATTTTTCCTTCTATTGGTTAATTCATGTATCATAAATCATTTTAGTGATAATATACAAGATATGAATTTGAAAAAAGGTTCAAAGTATTTTAAAGACTTATTTAAATTAGCGGATGATTAATAGAAATGGAATGAAATTAAAAAATAAATGATTTATTTCAACTAGCTGGAATCTTAGAAATAAATCAAAATTCTCAAGTAATTTTATGTCACTTGAGACAATTTAACGAACTTAAAATCCAACTTTATTCGTTATATTACATAAAGAAAAAAAAATGAAAACTGTTTATTCGTGCTTTGTATTTTATCATTTTGCAAGAATGCTTTTATAAATTAAACTTCATCTCACGTACATTCTTATCATTACAATTCCGGAAAACGTCTTATTTAAGTAGTTAAAAAAGTAAACATTGGAAAGGTATTTTTAAAATGTAAAAGAACAATAAGGATGAAAGTAACTTTATCGTTATCTTGAGCAATTTTCGTGCTTTTCATTGGAATTGAGATAAAATATATATCAAGAGCACTTGTAACAATTGTACAAGAGATAGTGTGTTCTGGTTGTGACAGATTCGATGTAGCAAAAGCATAGCAGACAATGTAGGACACTCTTCACAGCCTAGAACTACGATCGTATCATTGTGTAATCGCATGTATTAACTGTAGCCCACTAGACTGTATATAGATTTTGCCAATGTTTTGTGCAACAACATGTATAACTGAGCATGACAACTTTGGAATGTTAGTGTCAAAAGCAGTGATCAGATGGTTTAGTTAGCTGTCCTGTAATGGAGACCTACCAACTGGATACCGACTTTTAGGTTTGTAAAAATAAACTAACTATTAATTCAGAGGAAAATAAACACAAATTTTTTTTATTCGCATTGATGTTTTATAGTATTGGCGATTCGCAGCGATTGGCAAGGGGTTTTCCGGATAAATTGGCCCCGTTGGCCTCGAATGCGAAATCACTCGGTGCATCGAAGGGGTGGATTGGTGCGGTTACAATGCAAGAGAAGTTGCAGATAGAAGAGAATGAGTATGTGTACACTACTCTCTAGCGACCTAAACGACAACGGGCTTTGGGTTCGATTCGTATGCAACAGTTTTCAACGGTCTCGTCGCGTAACGCCCTCCGGGAATTAACGTTACTGTCGATTGAACGATACCGGAAATTGCAGGGTGAAACTTCGGGTCTCGTCACCGAGCTCTTCTCTTCCTCCTCCTTCTCCTCCTACTCTTTCACCCTTGCAATTATCGAGCATCCAAGTACTATTGGCAAAAAACTTGCAAGTACGATGTGCCACATGTGTGCGTGTGTGTGTGGCAGAAATCAACAAAATCAACAAAGCCGATTTCAATGTTTCAACGCGACGATAGATAAAAAGATTTTCAGTTTTTTCGAGCTGAGCGATATGAGAGTGGGATAAAAAAAGAAATGAAATAAAAGGGAATGTGAATTATTTGAAATCGAATTTCAGCTCTTTGATATTGTACTACGATTCTGTTTGTCTGATAAACAAAGAATACACGAGATACAGAGGATGGGTAAGAGAAAGCAGATTTAGAGAGCCACGAAAATCTGTTGATCAAACAAAAGAATACAGAAAGAGAAACTCTAGTTTTTTCTGATCAACAACAAAACAGATGAATAAATAAGAATACTCAACAATGAAAAATTCTCCAAAGTCAAACGACATCACGAGAAGATCAAGTACTCTTTTATAATAAAGCAGCTCTTACAACTGGTTCTTCTTTGAAGATGGAATTGAACATAAACCTCACTACTATACAATATTTGTGAACAACAAAAACTGATCTGAAAAATAAATAAAATACTGTATATAATTATTTTTAATGAACTCTTTCACATCATCATCTTTTATCATTTTTAAGAATTGTTTAATCCTTTGAGATTGATGACGATAAAAATAGAATATGATTCAGCTGGATTTTTGCTTTCAACTTATTTGCCAAAGATATTGAATGTAAAATGTCAATACTTTTGGAATGACATTGAATTCATTTGTTATTCAAAAACTAAAATTAAAAAATATCATATAGACGTACATTGTTTTATATGTTTTGTATTTTTTGACAAAATTTCATCTATGGAAGATGTACAATAGTGTATCAAACAATGGGTGAAAATGTTTGATGTGACAATAGTTTTTATTTGTAGCAATATCGAGCGAAAAAAAAAACCAAATACACATTCATTGCCTTGAATATTTTATCGAAATTTTATAGAACAATTTTGATGCATGTGCATTTAAAATATTAGATGTTAATATTTTCCATGAACTATGATTAATTTGTTGTTTGTATAAAACAATGTTACTTGTTACAATTAGCTTATGCTTCTAAAATGTTCCATTAAGTGGCTAAAAGCATGCAAACGAACCACTTTAATATGACCTAGTTTGGAAAATATATAATTAAATGTTTTATTAAACGTAAGTAAACATATTAATTGTAATTATTTAAATGACTTTACCGAAGCAATGAAATATGGCCATGTATAAGACTGATTATGTTTTCCTACAGTATGCAGTAATGGTATTGGAATATTTAATAACAAGACCAAATTACCTGACTACCTCATTACTACTCTATTACCATCTCAGTTCTACTCATTCCACAAATAATTACTAAATGGTCCTAGTTTTATTTTCTTTCCTAAACCTGAATTGACTGAATGACTTTTTTATAAATGTCATAACAGGCGAGGTGTTTTAAAGATTAAGTAGGCCATGTTTGGAACTCCAGAATAGGACCAGACTTTAATTGTTACAAAGATTGTTGTTTTGTAATTTAATTAAATGCAAGTTATTTCTTCCTTGATGTTTCCCTAGTGAAACTAAACAAAACTTTATTTTCTTCCTTTTTTTTTTTTAATTTTTTGTTTTATCTCGAACGTTCCCTACTTGCAGAAATACTATATATAATGAAATCAATAAAAATTTTTTAGATATTTATTTAACTTGATTTTTTGTTAATTTAAAATCCATCATAAAAAAATATATTTTTTTAAAATAATCATGGGAATATGAAAAATAAATATAAATTTTTTCTACAGTTAAATTAACATTTTTTTTATGTTACAATACAATAAAATATAAAAATTATTTATCAATGATAAATAAAATAAAATGTATTTATTTCAAACTGTTTTATTTATCTAAATAATATTAAATTTAAATTTGTTGTTAATTATTATTATTTTATTCTCATTATATCATTTATTGTAGCATTTTCAATAAATAAAGAAATCTAATTAAATTATTTTGTCGAAAAATTGAGGGGCGTCTAGTGAACTTTTGGAGTAAAAAGAAAAATCTTCAAAAAAAAATAAAGTTCCCTAAAAATTCTTCATAGTCTCAATTTTTTTATACGAGTTGCTGTATTGGTATAATTTTAATTTAATGGCCAACAAATTTGAAGAGCTGAATAAATAACATTATAGTTCAACCTTCTACTTGATATGATCGACCATGTTCTGGTACTTTCCAAAGCATCAATCTCACTCAAACATTTACAAAATATGATTCAAATTAAATCAATGCACCGCACTTAACTTGATAGATCATTTACTTCATCAACATTCTGATTGCGTTTATATTGAATCAAAGAGTTTAAATTTATTATTGAAAGTAACTATGATATTGATTATGTAAAAAAGCACAAAACAGGTCCAGGGTGTAATCTATCAGATGACTAAAGAATTTTACTTACTTCTCTCAACTGAACTCAGGAGAGTACAAGTATTCCAAGTAAAAGACAAAGTTCATAATACAGTTGGGAGGATATTGAAGGCCGTGATGTAAGTTACAAGAGAAGCTCTTGCATTTTGAAGCGATCGGTCTGATATGATCCGCCCGCTACGATGTGGTTGCGGTAAAAAAGGAAGTGAAAAGCAACTTATAGCTGGTTTTATATATGTATGGTATATAATGCGAGCAACTTTTTGCTAAGTTTGCCTCGTTAATATTAGTAACAACCCCTTATTATGAGATCCTTGAACTTTTTTCACCTTCTTTGGCCTCGTTTTGAGCAAAAAAGAAAGAAAATGACGTGATGAAGTAGCATAGATAGTAGGTTTCATTAAATGATTAATAATTTAGCAACATAGAAAATAAAGTAGCATCTGTAAACGGATGTAGTAAGTTTTTTAATTCATTTTTTCTTTTCCTTAAAGTGAGTAATGAACAGTTTAGTTAGATCCCATTGAAAAAATGTCTTTTTTGGAGTTAAACTAATGTTTCACTGTTGCTCGAAGCTTCTTAAGATCAATGAGTTTAGCTCTACACACGTTACAAATAGGTTATAATCTAATTTTAATCGTTCAAGTATACCATTAGCATATTCAATCTACAAGGAAATTACTCTTCTGAACGTGTCTCATTTTGTAGTGCAAAAAGTACACATCGGTTCCTTTCAGTAAATTACACTGTTACAGCTTGGCTCCTATGAAGCTGCGTTGAAGGGTTAAAAACTAAATAAGGAGGTTGGGTATTATATAAAAGAAACTGTGATACGAAAACTATTCTACACCTTATTGAAAGAACACACTTTCTTAGCTATTTCACAACTGAGTCACGTTTTACCCGTTAGCTTTTGAGCTTTTTTACTTCCCTTAGCCAATTCTTTTCTAGACTATTCCACGTTGTGATCGGGTGTTTGGCCAATGTACAAACTCGAAATACAACCCAGAGATTTACTTGAAAACAAATGCAATTACAGAGATTTCATTCATGAATAAATATGGACTTTTTTATTTTATTGTAAAAAAAGTGTTTTGTTTTTACAAATTGCTATTAAATTTTATGTTGAGAATTTTTCAATATTTTTCGATTCATTATTAATATTTTAAATGAAACATAAAACTTTATTCATCGGTGAAATAATTAATAACAAAACATACATTCACGATGCAATAGATATTTTTTAATTTTTCTTTTTAAATTCAAACAATTTAAAATAAAAAATTTATCTGATACCTGAGCGGAAATGATCAATATGGTAACGTGAAAAGTCTACTGAGAGTGATAGATATTTTTTTAATAAATATGTTATGAATATAATAAAACATAGTATCGAAGAAGCAAAAACCCTTGAGGACAAAATGGAAAACGTTCAAGTTAAAACTCACTCTCGCGTAGATAAAGATAAAACGTCTCGTAGGTGCAAAGTGGAGTGAGGCGTTATGCTAGAGGCATTTCAACTGATAAGAAAGCTCTCGACTTTATATTGTCCTATGGGAGCAAAAGCTGCACTGTATTATATTGGTGTAGTGCACCAGCTTTGTCCTATGCCCACATTAAAAATATTTTCTTCAAGCTAAAAGCTAAGTTTTTATATTTTTTTTTTTTTGTTTTGTTAAAATTTTTATATAAGATATGAAAAAAATTGTGCCGTTATTTTTTATTTCTAAAAAAACATAAAGTTCTCTTCTAATAGCAAGTAATATTTTAAATTGAATAATTATACTAATTGCTATTTGTAATAATAAATAAATAAAACCTTAACATAATTAATAATGTCTTATTAATTTTTAAGAATGAAATATAAATATTTCAATACAACCAAAATGAATAAATAAATAAGTAGATATTTTAGTATTAATCTTAAATGCAATGTGATTGTGCTAATTCATAGTTACTTAACGCCATTAAGCCCCAAGGAAATAAATGATACAATTTTATCAGATGAAGAGAAAGCTTGTCCCTACGATTTAGCAGGTACATCTCATTATTTTAATCTAGAATATCCAAGTGCATCTGCGGCTTCGTTTCATATCTGTAGGTTGGATATCGTAGTAAAGACGCCATCGTTATCAGGAATCTCCAGCTCCAGTTTAATATCTTCTTGCGTGTAGAGAGAGAAAGTAGCTTCTACATGTTCAGTAAAGATAGAAGATACTCTGGAATTGTAAAATCACCAAGTTTCCTTCTTGCATTTGAGCATTGAGTATTACAATAATGTCTCCATTGAACGAAATAAATGGTCAAGACAATCCAATGCTGTGGAGTTATATAATCTTCTCAACGTGTCTATTGTCTTCTCCAAGCGTCTTGTTGGTGAAATACAATCATCTCAAGTCGAAAAATAAGACCTGATTTGAGCTCTTCAAAATGAAATTATTATTATTTAAATTTTTAAATCACAACCAGGTTTTGACTGCAAATGACCTGATTTAGACAATCTGAACTTGCTTTTGACATACTCTAATAAGATAAAATTTTTTTTATCAAAGCTACTAAGTCGAAAACAGGTTTTAATTCTTAATTGGAATACAAGATCTGCTCTAGACGGTGTTTCAATAGTAAATACAAATACCTGAGAAATACATTTTTCTTAATTAACATTTGAAATGTCTGGATACCAACGTGAATAAAGGCACTATTCGAATCCAACGGTAGCAGGTTCGAATCCCACTGGAGGAAAAAAAAATCCAGCTCTAATACTACTTTTCTTACGACTATCTTTTAATCGATGGCTGATCTAAGCGATTAAAATATAAAATTAATAAAATATTCACCAATTAATATTTTTTTTTATTCATTTTTAAACTCAGTTGACATGATGCAATATATTTATGCACATAAAAGTACATTTATGGGGAAAGAAATGAGTATATTTAATTATTTAGGTCATTATTTTTTTAAAATCGAAAGCAGATCTTATTTTTTAACTTGGGTATTATACACTGGGTATATTTTTGATGACTGATATTGTGTGTATAATAAAATTTTTAGACTAACAAAAGGCACGAGAGTAACTCTTGCGTGTGACCCACTGCAACGTGAGAAATTCTCGCCCTTGTTAGGAGCATCTCTTGGTGGTGATTACTTTACCTGACTGTTCTATCTCTTCCCTGGCGTCTCGTTACGGTGCTACGTGACATGTCGCTGAGTGCCAGTTGCGAGAAACATTTTTACTTGACTGGGAAAAAATTTATGAGATATTATACACCATCACTAGTCGTTAATCTTTCTTTAACAAAGATTGCAATTAGAAGAAGTTTTTATCCACCAGTAAGTATATGTTTACCAGGCTACTCTAGACTTTATCGTCTTTCTAGAACAGCGTGCTTAGCACCTAAAACGCGTGCACGTTGTCAATTTTTACTGATTTTTTCTCGTAAACGTGAGCAAGTCTAACGGGAATTGAACCAGATCATTTAAGATTGTGAAAAGCCTACACGGAGAGAAAATTCATAGAAAAATTACTGTGCTCAGCACTACAATCGACGTGTGAAAGCCGAACATAGTCAATTTTGTACGGCAAAAATATAAAAATTATAATTAATCATAGAAAATTTAAAGGATAAAATATTCTTTCTTAAAATTCAGCTTTGTAAAATTTGTAAAACAGCACAGTAAAAAGTTCCATTCCCGACAGAAAAATATTTTTTAATTGTTTTTCTTACAAAAATTACTATTTAAGCTGCCATAGAGTCCTAGACGAACTAATATATTTTACCATGCTGTCTTATAATTTTTCAAATGCTATCTGCTAATAGTAGAAAGAAAGAAAGAGAAAGAAGGTATCAACGCTGTTGAGCATGAGAATTATTTTAAACAAAAAAAATGATATCTCATTAACTATTAATCGTAGAGAAGCCTATAAGGGGTCATTTTGTTCGTAAAGCGATTTTCTAAAAATTGTACGCATTATGTCTAGATCTCGGATTCATAGTTTTCGAGATATTCTACTATTAAGTTAAAACAACGTGCATTCTGCTATTAACATAAGAAAGAATCGAAGGTCGGAAAAGATCGGGCATCTTCGAAGTTTTTCGAAGCAGGTTTGAATACGTTTATTGTTCCTCAGTGCGTAATTGACTGTGTTATCAATAGAGAGTGATACATTATACAGTGACACATAAAAGTGCGTCATTTTGTAACGACGTAAGTAATCTTTCACAAACTTTAATAGCAACTAATATTTGACATTCATAATATCTATTATTCATTTCTTAAATAATTAACTGATTTTGGTATTATTTTTTATTTACAGTAAAATGGTAAGTAGTTCATACTAAATAGTCTAACTCCCACAACACAACTTCTAAGCCTTTTCTTGTCGAAAAAATGACAACAATTAAAAATATCGAATCAGTTTTTGTTCAAACTCAACTTTTGTAAAGTGCAAAAGTGTTAACAGTGTTAGTGAAATAGTGGATTTATTTATTAAAATTGAAAAATTTTTCTTTCGTTAATTATAAGTGATCAAAAGATGATGGTTTTTGTAGTAAAGTAGTCATTTTCCAGTGTTTTTAACCGTTGTCATTTTTTTCAATTACTAGTCAATTGTGTTCTTTCTCAATTTTTAGATAGTTTTATCTTACAGGATTTACAAGGGCATTTTGAACGTCCAGAAATTATCAACAACGTGAGTGTCATTAACTTATGATCAATAACTATTTGAACAAAGGACAAATAATTTATATTTAAAAATTTTTTTACAGCCTATATACCAACTTTTATTAAATTCAGCTGATGGCAAAAGTGTTTTAAAATATTATCGAGATAATGGATGCTTGAAGAAAACCTTAAGAAATTTACTCAGCAGACTTATACTCAGCCCTGAAAAAGATAGACAATTAAAAACAGTTCTCCAAGTGCCATAAAGATGCTCCTATTTTTTACAAAGTAGATAATATTATAGTTTGTAGCAATATTAAAGTATGTCTTATTGTTAAAAAATTAATAAGTACATTCCTCTACGAAAAAACTGAATGTTATCGATTGTACAACGATCAGTATACGTGGGATGTACTAAATTTGGATGACCTATTTAGCTTTAAGATTACGAATCTTGTAAGAGCATCTAATGGTGCGAAATTTATTCTCAAAAATTGGTTTTAATTTAAATAAAGATATATTTAATAATTCATAAAAGTGTTTTATCATTATCAAATTCAACCGCGATTCCTTAATTTCCCTAAATCAAAAAAACATTATTAATTTTTTACGTTACAGCCTTTTTTTGAATCAAAAATAAATAATAAGCTGTAGAGAAATTAATACATTGATATATAAATATTGTTAAGCATACTTAGAAATTTTACTAAATCGATAAGGAAGTTTTCTAATACAGCACATTAAATTTTACCATGCCAGCACAACAATTTTTATGAAGCCATGACTAATACTCTTTATGTTTCAATTTGATAATATTTACGTTTCAATTTAATAATATTTACATGATCGTAAAATACTTTTTACTTTGGTCGTCGATCGTGCACGCATTATAAGAGAGCATGGTAATTTTTCTGAAATTTTCTCTACAAAAATTATATGATTTTTCTCTCCGTGTATAATTTTATCGATAACGAAGCTAATTGATCTCTCATAGAAAGGGAGAAGAAATTAAAAGAAAAAGTAACAGAGTTGTTGAATTTGTTTCTGAGTATTTACCAAAAATTTACTCTTGGTTTCCTCACAGAAGGAAAAAAGATGAACCTTTCTTGGTGTGTTAATTTTCTACTTACGTAAAACGTGATCTTATTGGCTCAGTTCCAAAAATCAATGCGAGACAGAATGCCACCATTAAATACGAGAGACACATCTTAACGACTTGGCAATCGTGCTAAAAGAACGTGGGGTAAAGAAATACGATAAAATAGCGAAAAAAAGCTAGTCTAATGGTGTATATCATGTCAACACAAGTAGAAGAAATAAAACAACTAGGGTGTATTCAGGTAGATATCTAAAGTTGTCAGATATGCCAGAGTAACGTCCAACCTCAGTGATACGGGGGCGTGATTAAAAGTGGTTGTTAGATAGCAATCTTGACGTTGGTATCAGTTTATATTTTATTAAGGACATTCTTGATTTTTTTTCTGTTTTATTGCTACATTTAAAATTTTTTCCACTTTTATTTGTACTTGTTTAAATATTAAATATAAATCATTTAGCAATAGTAATAATTTTATGATGTTATCAACTAATTAAGAGATTTGATCATTGCATTGAAAATAAATGAATGGTATTTGTAGGATTTATAGACAAAGTGTCACTGTAACACGAATCTTTTGGTGTCTGATCTGCAACAGTGACGTATAAATAAGAGACAAGCTAATCCGAGAGACTGGATACGAAATGTTTAATGGGGCAAGTGTCCGTTTAAATAAGTAATTGGCGCGGCTTTCCTGAGAGAAACACGCGACATAGTGATGTGGAAGAGAAAGAGAGAAAAGGAAAGAAAATCCTCAACTGGTTTTCCAAGAGCGTGGCAGGAGGTCGGGAGGGTCTGGACGAGTTCCGAGAGTTAGTTGCCAACCGCGAGTGCGCGGAAACGTTTTTGCGGCTCTCTTCTTTGTCTCGTTACTATACTCTTAAGCTCTTTGCTATGTTACAAAGCTTACAGACGAGACACGCAAATAAGAGCAACTAAAAGTAAGCTCAATTCCGAAAAGTAATGATAGTCCTGAGAAAGTCCTTCCGCGGTTGGCTTCACTTACTCTAGTTTGTCATCGGTAACCAACCAGTTCTCCACCACCACCAGATACTCTCTGATTCCTTCTCAAACTAATTTGGATGATGCTACTCTGAAATGTTCTTTGAAACTTGATCTACTGTCGTCCACACGATACGATAATCCAGAAGGAAGTGTCTTGTCTTTCCAAGACTCTAAAGTTCCGCTTCTTGGATACCGCAGGTGTGCAACGAGCCACGACTGATCGTCTCTCATATTCAGAAACTTCATTGGGAGCTACATTGAGCTAGCGTATTTCGGACTAAGTTGAAGAAAGGAAGGATTAACAATCACATCAGCTGGAATGAAGTAAGTTGAAACTACACGATAACATTGTGACAGATGGATAAAAAAAAAGTGATAATGTTATTCTAAACTTTTTTTTTTAATTTCAACTTTTTGTATATTTAAATGAATTCTGAAGTGAATGGTAAGTCGATCAATACTACAGCAGACTTTTAACTTGTAATTTATTTGAAAGAAAAAGTAATGCTTGAGTATAACTCAGAATATATAAATGACGAGGAAGATGCTTAGTTAAAATTGAACTAATTATTTTTATCATTATGAAAGCTAAACCACGAGGGATAAAGAAATTTTTATTTGTTTCAAGGAGTAGAAAGCGTTGAACTGTAACGGAAACGACTCCGAGTATGCTGGTAACAACTGCAACTGAGCAAAATAATAAATCCCCAAGTGGCACTCGAAGGCAGTACGGTACTAGCGCGTGACGATACCGAGTAGCAGCAAAAGTAGAAGGAAGTGTTCTCCACGTGAGGTCTCTGAGGAAGGGCTATACTGTCATTAATAATTAGAGACATCCGTGTGGTCAGTACTTCGTTGTCTGACTATGCTATTTATTGCCGTATAATGATTATTTATTAAACAAAACCCATCAACGATATTGCTGAACGAATTTACTTCAACATTTTTCTACTTTTTTTTCAGCATTTCAGCTGTAGAGGATATAGTTTGATTTTTTTTTAAAATGCCAATATGTGATAGGCTCCCAGTTGAATAAAGGAGATATAATAAACAATGAATTTTAGTGTTATTTATCACTGTATAGATCTAGAGATATTCATGGAGATTCTCTGACTACTGGCGTGACTGGAATTATATAATCGCCATCGTATACTGTAATATATATTACGTATGAATAACCGTCGCTAAAACGTAAATTAATTGTAGAGTACACTTTAGTTGGTGGTAAAACACCTTCACACTCACCTTCGTCGCTGTGTGGACAAGGGCAAGGTCATCATCATCTTGCGTAACTCGCGTGCATTAATGTTAACCATTTAGAGATAAACATACCTGGGAAATGAGTTTCTAACACATCGTTAACTAAAGTAAATATTCAAGACTATATACTACTACATGAACTGCTAAATCTAATTATAAAATAAGTTCTGTTATTATTTAATTATTTTTCAAGACATTTATTCGTAGGATATTTATTCAATGAATATTCGATGATATCAGAGGACATGACTAACAAGAAGAATGGATAGGACATACAGGATTTCGTGGGTCGATAAAGAAGTGAGATATTTGGAACATGTAAAAAGGTAGAAGAGAGACAATGTTGGACAGGACAACGGTTGTTCATGAATTTATTAAACTGGTAGACTAAGCTAGACCACCAATAATTGTGGTTGAAATTTAAGATCTGTTAATCGTAAAAAATAAATTAACTCTTAGAAAAGTACCAGGCTAATATCTTTGATATTTAAAATTTTAATTGATATTAATATTAACGTATTTAAACAAACTAGTCTTACATTTATTTATTCATTGGCTTTACATTTCACCCTTGCGGCTCATACAAACGTAATGCCGTTCACAGGGTACTATTGAACACTACCGATATGCAAATCTGGTTTGTTTACGTCGCGATAACGAGAAGGATGCTCGCCACGAATGGCAATACCATATTCGTCGATTGTAATTCACATGCCGCCAAGTGTAAACACATATGTCATGCTTGAATACATGGAATATATTTTGTTGCTTTTTACCTTCGCAGAAATAATGAATTTCAATCAATTGAAAGTGTGTGAAGGAGAGCTAAAGGTCGATAAGCATATTCCTAGATGGTAATAAAATATCGTCTTGATGGACTTGATCACGTTTTGCTATAGTACACCATTTTATAGTATTTTCTAATTAGTCTTCAACTATCCTTCTACTTTTCTCCAACTTCTAGCTGATGATCCTGGTCTTGATGCCTCTTCTTGGCCGGAATTAATTCTCCTACAAGAGGCATATCCAGTGGACCAGGTCCAGGACTCTAGATGATGACTGGATTTAAATTAGGTTCATGATGTAAGAGGAACAGAAAGAGATGAACAATTATTGAAGTAAATTTAGCTATTGGTGATGAAAGTTAGCAAAACTTCGATTACTAATTTTTCTCAACAATGTTGGAGCCACTCCTCAGTGAATTGTAATTTATTCAAAGCCGTTGATTGGTGATAAAGCTTCCAAGAAGAAATGAAACACAATGGAGAATTAACCTCGTCTGCAACTGTAAAATGTCGTCGATCTTACAGAGTAAAGAACTGGTGGACCTTGAAGAATTTTTTATTACAGTTCGATTAATTTGTACAAAGCAGACTATAGCATAAAAATATAGTATGTTAATCTTTTTCAAGAAAATAAAAAAAAATATTTACGATGTTCGTTAAAAATAATTATAGGGATCTCTTTGCAAGTTTTTGCTGCTCTTGAGCAACAAACAGTGTTGTGGAACAATGCTTCTGGTATTTAATCCTCTGATGTCGTCAAGGCTTTGCGCATTGTTCTCGCATTCATGCGGCGTTTCGTCGAGACAAGACGGCGACACAGTGCTCAGATATCACTAAAATACTTGTGTCTTTGTTGTGGCCAGTGTGCTATGACTATTGTTTTAACTCAGATTTAATTAAGTCATAAATAATTTACTATAGCATTCCCAAAACATCCGTCAATTCAATCAGCTATATATCTTGATTAGTTGGTTAATTAACTTAGTTATTCATCAAATTCATAGATCCAGTTATCAAGGATGGAATGAATAAAAAACAATGATGACTTAAACTTTTAGAAAATTGTCCTGCTGACCGACACACACTTATGGTTTTCTAGCGGCACCGCAATGGTTACTCAACCACACACTATTCCGCATAATAGCAGGTTCAAGGTGGGGCAGACAGCCTGGCTGCGCCTACGTAAGCGCGGCATGTCCTTACACCGCAGATGAGAGAGCGGCAGTACCAGCGTGATCGTCGTTATTCATGAGCAAAGAGCAAGAGGGAGAGTGCTAGCAATCGTATATGTCTACCTGATTGAAGTGCAGAGACATTGTTCGGACAATGTGCACGTTTAGAAGCGGCTTAATCAGCCATTGTTGAGTTCATTGTGTTCAACTGGACCAAGA